AGGTTGGGTGCCCCAGCTTCTGTGTTTCCCCCATGTTGTTATGTTCAGCTGAAGTCTGCTGTCAGCTCCTGGCAGGCAGGGGACATGTCTCTCCATGAGCCTGCACATCCCGGAGGCCAGCAGATGCCTGGCGCACAATAGGCACTCGTGTGGAATTGCTGAAATGTGTTGTTGCCAGATGAATGCTACGATTGAATCTATGAAAGCAAGAGGTGCAGCTGAGGGCTTGATTTGCAGACTCTGCAGGGTGGGCAGAGCACCCTGACAGTCTTGTGGGCAGTTCTTCTGGGAGCAGGACCCACTCGACGACGGGGGTGGGGGGGAGGTGGGTGGTATTCAGAGGGCTCCCAGACGTCTGGCAAGTTTGGAATGAGGGCAGAGATCTGCAGCCTCTTCACTTTCAGGCTTGCCTCTGTGCCCATCACCTGGACTGGACTCAGGACACAGCTCTGTCCTTGGGGGTTATAGTGGGCTGTTGCATTTTGCATCTGAATCTGGGGGGACTGGGGTGAGGGTGGCAGAGGGGCCAGGAGGGAGAGTGGCACTGTGGGCTGAGATGTCATCAGCAGCTCACTCCTTTCAGCTTCAGGCCAGGGCCCTCTGTTGCCCAGAGTGTTGTGGGAGACAAGGACTGTCCTTGGCTCGGGTTTGTGATAGCCACCCGAGGTCATTGTTGGGCTCAGACGGAGGAGGGGCAAGAACAGTTCTGAGGGAGTGGTAGCCACCTGGAACTTGGCCTGCAGCACCTTGGAGTGCCTTGGTGAGGCCCAAGCAAGTGGGACTGCTGCCTACTTTACTGTTGGGTATTTGATGGTACTTACCCGTTAGTATGGTGAGGTATAGAGCCAATGCCTCGGCAAGCTGCTTTTTCACAAGCTAATTTGATCTGGGAGCCTTTCACAGGACCTGAAAACACTTGGTTACCAGAATCTGGATCCAGATAGTCTATATTTGATTAGCATCTTAATATTGTAGGTCCCTCTGGGAGCCTGAGTCTCTAAAAATCCGTGGTAGGGGTTTTCCCTTCCTGTCTGGAAGAAAGACTGGGCTGGGAATTCAAGCAGGTCCTAGAAGGCTCCTTGCCTCTGGCTCCTCTTCACTCCCCAGACGTGAGTTTCAGTCAGCCGAACAGACTCTGCTTACTTGGTGACATGACCAGAAGCAGTTTGGTGACATAAAATGATTTAAAAAGCTATCTGTGGTTTGTTGTGCGTTTTTGGAATGGAGCACATGTGTTGTCGTTTTGTCATTTCAGTGCTAACTTACAATTTATGGGCTTTGGATCTACCGGAGCCGAGTGGAAATGAAATGTGTTTGACTGTGATGCTTTGCACTTTTGGGTGGAGAAGTGACTGGAATTCTCTGCCGTGTTGTGGTGCAGTGCTTAGATTTGTGGTGAATGCCAAACCTTCCATCAGCTGGAGTCCCGGTGGTGCCCAAGCTGGGTCACCAGGCTCTTTGCCTCCCCAGCCTAGTCTTTGTGGTGTGTGACATTTCATTCACTCTGTGACTGTTTTTTGAGCACCCATCACACGAGAAGCAGCCTGGGGAGCTCTGGAGACACAGAGGTGAACAAAACAAAGGTGCTGCTCTTGTGCAGCCACCGTTCCTGGGACAGCTGCTGCCACTGAGCAGGTAACTAGCTCCCTGACCACATGTACCACACACCCCTCCTTTTAATTCGATGTTTTGCCCTGAAGTTTTTTGCCCCTGGCTTCCTCTTCTCCATTTTTCCCATGGTGCCTTGCACGGAATAGGGCTTAATAAATATTTATGTGATGACATAGCAGCTGGTGTTAACACATGTGAAGAAGGGATTTCATTCAGCCATTTATCAGATCAAGCATGAGCCAGGTGATGGGCGCGGGGGGCATGGGATTGTTTTGAATGCTGCATCCCTGGTTCCTCAGCCTCCCTGAAGGGCTTTCTCGCATGATCCACGGCAGGAAACAAGCCAGAAGAGGAGGTGAGAGTGTGTTGCAGGCAGAAGGACTAAAGCAGGCAAAAGTCCAGAAGCATGGGGTGCACTGCGATCAGCGGGCTTTTCAGTGCCACAGTAATGGTCAGATGAGGGGCTCTCACCTATTTGAAGGCTCTTAGGCCCTAGTCTGGGAAGCTAATGGTGGAATTTTAAGAGTGCACTTCACGCCACTGCTTCTGGCTACTCTGCAGAGGCCAGACTTAAGATGAGAGTAGAGTCAAAGAAAGAAGTTCTGGGCTGTGGTGATGGATGAGTCAAAGAAAAGGCACCTCAAGTTAGTGAGGGAGGATCTGCTTGACGCATTTGGGTTTTCGGGTGACTGCTTCAGAGCTTGGACCCCCATGTCCCCTCTGTAGCCTCCCTCTCTTCCCTACTGAGCAGCAAGCCCAGTTGCAGTCAGACTGATCTTCCATCATGTGGGACCCCTCCTAGCTCATGTCTTGCGTCCTGCCGCGTGGTCCTGTTCCCTAATCCCTGCAGCCACTCCTGTGTGCCTGCAGATCAACCAACGCAATTCCCAGCAACGGAAAGCTCTTCCTCTGCCATCCAAAATGTTCCCTTTCTCTTGTAGTGCTTCCTCATCAGTCTGACAGCTCTATTTTCCAGCACTCCCTTCTTATCCATCCACCCAATACTGTTGAATCCTTCCAGGGCTTTATGTCCTGTTCTCGGACCATGGGACAGTGAGAGGAACAAGGCTGAGGGTCTGATCTCATGGAGTTGATGTCTTTGTCATGAGGACAAACCATAAACGCATGAATACAAAATGTGTCAGGTGGTGATACTTGCTGTGGAGAGAAAGCCAGCATCTTCATGCCACTGTGAGGCCAGGCCAGGGTTTCTTCTACAGTATGTGTATTTACTTAAGTCTTTAGGGTAAAGCCCCACCTCTCAGGCTGGATGCTCTCCAGGATAAGGGGCCAAAACTGAGCTGACTAACCTAAGCAAAAATCAGCATTTGCTGACCTAACTGTGAGGTCTCGGATCCAGGACCTCTAACATTCCCCCCGGGATTCAGTCTCCTCCAGCTCCTCTGCCTCTGCTTCGTGCTGGATTGACTCCAGTCTAAGGTCCCTTAGGGAGACATGTGGCTGCTGGCAACCCCAGTGTTCTCTCTCAGCAGAAAGAGAGCACCCCTTCCCCACAGCTCCAACAGAAGTCCTAGCCCCTCAGGTTCATGCACTCTTCACCGGCCTGGTCTTAGTCACATGCCACAGTGTCCCCTAGGACTGGAGCAGGTAGCGTTCTCCTCCTTGGGCCATCTGAATTATGGGGTGGTTGGGGTGGTTCACTAAAATTGTCAGGGTTCAAGAGATGCTGGCTTGCCAAAACCCCAGCTCCTTCCTGGGCACCTCAGTGTCTTGCAGCTGGCCAGGAGTCGAATGGAGAAGTGAGTCTGGAGCCTGGACTTCCAACCCCAGGCTGAGCTACTGGGATAAAATGCAGCATGTGCTGTGGATAAGCTACGGCTGTCCCCAGAGTCCTGCAGCATTCCTTTGCTGTCACTTACTGTCTGGCACAGGCATGATTGTTCATTAGGTTTCTAGGCAGCAGCTACATGCTAGGGAGATGGCTGCTTAACTTTGTTGGCAACACTCTACCCTCACCCTTCTCCCGTGTAGCACTGTGGTCTCATACATGCCACTCACCCCAGTGTTAGCTGTGGACTGTTGTGCACAACAGAACTGTCACCGGGCTTGTGCGGCTACAGTGAGCAAGACCAAGGGAGTGGTCACCATCAGTGGCTGTTGTCCCAAGGTCTAGATCAGTGTTCTGCTGTCCAGGGGTGGATCTTTGGGAGCTGCTGTGGCCTCCTAACTGGTATCTCTACATCACCCCCCTTCTCCAAACCAGTCATCCTTTAAACCTGAGCCCACCTTCCTGTCCCCTAACCTTTGTACACTTCCTTGGGTCCTTCGCATGGCCACCGTGCCTGTTGGGCGCCTTGTCACTCTATGGCTGTGCCTCCTGTGCGCTTTTTGAGATGAGTGCAGTTTCCAGGTTAACCTCAGCTACCCACCCATGAGGGCTGTATGAGAGCAGAGCTGCGCAGCTGCTGGCCAAATTCCTCACTAGGCAAGCTGCGCATCAGTTCCCTGACCTCAGGGCCTTGAAGGCTCCTAGCATCTGGGCACAGCCTGCAGGGTTCATGCGTGCTCCTGGGCCCGTCATCCAGGCTTCCCCCTCACTAACCTCCACATCCAGTAGTGAGTGGTGAACTACTGATTGAGAAGTCTGGGTTTGGTTGTGCTGCATGGGAGATGCATGGTATTGCCTGAAAACAGCAGGGGTCCTGTCCTGTGACAGAACACCTTAGAGGGTTTCTTCCTTCAACAGCAGCTGGATAAGACAAACTCGCAGACTTTTTGAAATTCTTTAAAATATTTTTTTTAATGGGTGCTCACAGATCCAGGTTGAATGTGGGCTGACTTGCTGAGGTAAGCGCTCCAAAATGCATGCGCTGTGAGGTCAGAGGGTGCGCATTAGCTGCTTCCTGGCCCCAGATGGCCTGTAAGTTTGAAAAATAAAACAAAACAATAAATAAAAAAATAATAAATAATAAATAAAAATAAATAAACAAAAATAAAAAAATCTACATTAGTCATGTAATATTTGAAATATAATGCTTATATGGAGATGCCGCATAAAGCTCTGATCCTCCAAGTTCATTCCTGCAAGGCCACAGTGGGAGTCACCCTGCAGCTTACCACACTCCCCACTGCTCTCCCCTGATTGGTGACACAGCCTGTTCCACGTGGGTCTGGAAACTGTTGTCTTGGTGTGTAGTATGTGCACATGAAAGTCCTCAGATCCTGCCATTTTAGCATCGAGTTTTCACAAACTGAACACCCCCACGCAGCCATGGCTCAAAACGTGTTTCCCAGCCATGCTGTGTTATTTGGAGTTACTGGTTCTATGTTTGGATTGTTTTTGGTTAATTTACTGCAAACAAATATAGCGTTGTTTATTGTCTGAATATAGTGTTGGGGGGAAAAAAAAACAATTTTTCTTTTTACAGAAAAGCCTGCCATTGCTCCGCCTGTCTTTGTGTTTCAGAAGGAGAAAGGACAAAAGGTAAGGGGCCAGCGTGTTCTCTCACCATGTGATGACCCTGACTTGTTTCTCTCAGAGACCTCTTCCCCAGCTCACGTGGCCAAGGATGCATCTGCCTTTTGGAGCTTAACCATTGAGCTAGAGGAAGGAGGCTGTAGGTTCTGTCAGTGAGCGGTGTTGAGTAGAAAGGACTCAGAGACTGCCTCGACAGTGATAGAAAGCTCTTTCCAATTCCTAATGATTTGGTTTAGAAATACTGACATACCTTAGGAAAACAGCAAGAAAGGAAAGAAAGAAGGTGAGAAGGGGAGGGAGAGAGGAAGGAGGGGAGGGGAAAGACAGTGGTGGTTAAGGGGGAAAAGAGGACCTTCCAGATTTTTCGGGAAATTTCTTGACCCAACCAACCTGGCATAAATGCGTTTAGAATAATTATTAGTTGGTTTGCGTTATATATTTCCCATGCCCATCTTTGTTAGGTTGCTTCTACCTCCTGAGTTTTTCATTTAAATGTACCATTGTTGGAAATACCTGATTCCCAGAACATAGCAGCCTGTTAAAAGCCTGAGATGAGATAAGATGGTGTCACATGTACTCTTTACTTTGAAGCCACTGGCTTTATATTCCTTCCTGACAAGTCGGTTTTGAAAGTTAGAGTTGTGTCCAAAGAAGTTGGTATTTGCGGCAAAATCTCCCAAGCGTATACAAGGTTTTCCTCTGTTTGTCCAAAGACTGAATGGTCACTCTCCACCCGTGCCCTGGATGACGGGTGAATTCTAACACCTGTTGCAGCATTTCAGTGTGACCACAATGCTGTGCTGGATTCAGGGTGTTCTGAAATCCACTTGCATCCTAATGATAGAACAGGATTTGAGAATCTCGTAGACTCAGGGCTCAAGATCCACAAATGAGTGCATCCTCTGTTTCCTTCTAGGGGGGGGTGGCTGACTCCAAGGCTGGGGCCTGCTGGTCTGGTGGCAGGAGACTCCTGGCGGCCCTGCTGCAATCATAGACTCTGTTCTTTGGTCTAAGAGGAAAACAGACCTTTCCTTCTGTGCCACCCAGCTTTCCTGAGGGCATTCCAGTGCTGTTCAGGAAGTGTGCTTGTGGAGGGGACAGAAGGAAGAATCAGCAACCCCCCACCTCCCCTGTGCCTTCTGTGTTGGCTGGGGCTTATCTCCCAGTCTGTTCTCATATTAAACTTCCCCGTTGTGCATTGTACTGAAGAAAGTATCTCAAGGACACATTCACCCATTTTGTTTTGGTTATCCAGGTAGTGTCTTCAGTCAGTGGTCCTTAGGAGGTTCAGTTGGGTGATGTGTTTTATTTAGTTACTAGAAACTGAATATTAAAATATTGGAGATAGATGTGTTTGATTATCACTGTTTCAGGTGTGAAGGTTACTTATCTTAGGTTTTCCATAAAATCGGAATTTTCTAGAATTTTGAGGGGGTTTTTTTTGTGTGTTTTTTTTTTTTTTTTTTTTGATCTCTTTTCAACCACTATTAGTTTAAAATGGGTCAGTAAACTGAGGCCTGTCGCCACCACCTGTTTTGTACCTAGTGTTATTGGCGCTTACCATACTGGGCGCTTCCCAACAGCCTGGCTACTTTCACTGTATAATGGCAAACTCAAATAGTTTGGACCAAGACCAGATGGCCCACTGAGTACCTGACTCTTGACAGAAAAAAGGCCAATGAGCCTCTGATTTTAAATGAGTAATAGAAATTAGTTTTTTAAACCTGAAGACTTTAAGGTAGCAAGTAGGATGAAACACTGAAATGTAATATTTGTTCACCTGAATTTTTCAGATGCTCGTAAAAGCCCTATGTCAGCACTGCTTTCATGATTGTGGTAGTTCTGTTGCTTTATAATTGAAGACTGACTTACCTGTCATCTTCAGAAGGTCAGTGAAATCCTGTAAACAAGGCATAAAGTTCAACCAGAAGAGTAGCCAGGAACGCTCTCATTGTCACCTTAAAAACGTGCAAGCGTAGTTTTTATCAAAATAGTGACTCAGAGTCAACTGTAAATGGTCTCCTAAAAGTAACATCTTCAAAGATCAGTTCTCTGATTCCATCACATGCTCACCAAAAGGGTGCAGGAAAACTATGTATTTAGAGGCAAAAGCCAGAGGGACCTTTGTCTACTCGGTTGCTTTCTGAGCTATCAGGTGGATAGTGGCCAGGCAGACATGGAATCTTCCTTTCTCGCTCTGTTGCTTATGACAGCCGGAGAGTATGGTGGGAGGTAAATAGTGACTCAGACACTTTGTTTTTCCCTGGCTTCCCATTTCCAAGGAATCGAGAAGACAGATCTGCAAGGACTGGCCACAAAAATGTTAACTTGAGACCCTTTGGTTTCATGTCACTTCATCTCTCACTATGGAAACAAAGTTGGCAAAGGGGCGGTTAGGATTCAGACTGCTGTTGTTTTTTTCAAGGTGAACTCCTCCTCCCCCTCCCTTTTCCTTGCAAATTTTATTTTGAAATTTTTCCAATCCTCAGAAAAGTTAAAAGAATGGCATGGCAGACCCTTAGATACCCTTCACCTGGCTTCACTAGTAACATTGTAGTCATAAATGCTGTGAGTCGTGCCCACCTCACATTCCTCCCCTAAAATACCTCCTCTGGCGGCTCCTGGGGATGGGGCCTTTCTGTTCTATGGCCCTAGTGCCATTGTCATGCCTAAGAAAATGCTCATTCATTCATAAATATCCTTCAACATTTAGTCCGTATTTGAGTTGTCCTGATTGTCACCAAATGTCCCTTGTAGCTATTTTTTTGAACCACTTCTTGATCCTCAAAGGTTAGGAAAGGTCCCATTTGTTAACCTTTTAACTTAACTTCCCTATTAATGCTCTCTAAGCCATCCAACAGGCCTCATTACTATTATGAATCATGATTAAGATAACAAAGATTGGAAATTAAAAAGAAAAAAAATTTAGTTGCCTGCCCAGGAGTTTTTTGTGTTTGTCAGTGACGAAGCCATGTAACATTTTCCATGGGTTCCATTGACAGTCCATATTGCATTCACAGAAACCACAAATTGATCGCAGTGACCTGCCGATAGCGTTGCTTGCTTAGCCTTGGGACGAGTTGTTCAAATCCTTCTGTTGTTAGAGAAAGTGGTGGACGGTTTGAGCTCCAGACTTGCAGCCCCAAATCTAAATCCAAAGCCAGCCTGACAGCACCGGGATCGGTTACTTCTTCCCCTAGCCCCAGGCTTCCTGAAGAGGGCGCTCTGTGAAACACTTGCCTTTACGTGTGCTCGTGTTCTCCCCACTGATATGAAACCTTTTTGTCCTAACAGTCTTGAATGGAGACAGACAGGTTTTTCATTTCAATGTGAACAGAATTTGGATATCTTTCTGTCAGTGGTTTCATTGTTTATGATGACTAAATGTTTCTTTCAACTGCTTTATCTTCCAAATATTTGTTATTCTGAACGGGAATGCGTTCCGGTTGCACTGGATGCCTATTAGGTAAAAAGACGGCAATTACAGAAATGCCGCTGAGCACAAAGTCCTGTGTCACTCCAAACACTGTCAGTGCATGTTTAAACTTCATTTTGAAGCTTACTGTTAGGGTAACAAGTGTATCCTGTGTACATGGATTTGATTTTTCTTTTTTGCCAGCCACATATTTAAGATGATGTCAAAGCCTGCCAAAATCTTGATGTCTGGTTTAACAAACATGTTGAAAAACTAGAGTCTCTATCTAATTTTTTAGAACTTAACTTTTTTTTGTCCAGCAGAAACACTGGGACCCAAGTAGAAAATGCTGGAATGATATTTGTGTTTCTTTTTGGTTATCAATTTAGGCTTCTTTTTGAATCTGTCATGCCATGAAAGCATTTGAATATGTTCCAAAAAGAGGAATTTTGAAAAAAAAAAAACATAAAGCATTTCTAATTGGAGACAGGCAGTTTCCCAAAGAGCTCTGGGTTTAATCTCTGAGGTGTTAAATCTCTAGCCATGAAGTAGCAACAGACTGGTGTGTAGACAAGGTTTGAGGAGCAGTTTGTAAGACAGGCTATTGTCAGTGGATCTGCCCTGGATAGAGTTGATTTGGGTGACTTTTAAAATGTGTGGATAAGTGTATGCTGCATTGCATTTGCATTCCTAAAAAAACATCTAGAGTGTCCTCTTAAATTCTCTTTATGTAGTTCCTTTCATCTGATGAATCTCATGTCAAAGGGTAGCCCCCAAGCTCAATCTAAAAAAATATCAACCACTTCATACTCCGAAGAGTTGCAGCCCCATCTTCAGGGAGACAAGGTGGCCTCATAGTCATCTAGGTCACAGGGTGCGAGAAAGACTGTGTTCTTGGACAGTGCCAAATGGGAGGTTTGGGGATGAGAGCTCATCTGTGCCAGAACACCAGTTTTATAGCCCATTTCTCAAGAAGAGTCATGGCTGCAGAGCTCTCAGCCCATGAAAACCCCTCCAGAATCCCAAGAACACCTCAAAGGATAGCAGGGATGTTGTACTTTGTGGTATGAAGACTTACAGAATTGGCTCTCTTAGCCTGGCTATTTTCCAAATCAGGCCTGCCCACGTGTTTGGGGTGAGCCTGAGGGGATCCTAGGCCTAGGATCATAGGCTCTCCCACCTGCCTGCCTGCTGATACAAAGCCAGCTTTCTGTGTCTGCAAACTTGTTTGGTCACCCCACACCTGCACTCACTGAAGCAAGAATGCATTTTCTTCATCTCAGGTTTAAGCAGAACAAATTGAAAGGTGCTGGAAGAACCATATGAAAATGTAAAAGCCTTTGACCCTGGATTCCCATTTTATGGATGTGTACTATTCCAAGCTGTCCTCCCCACCCTTCCTGATGGACAGAAAGGTGCTAATGCTCTGCACCCCTCATCAGTATTTCCAAGGAGATGTGTTATTAACCCTCAGGATAACATAACACTAATTATAGCCATGTTCCCCTCTGATAGAACCCAGCCCCCATTTTGGCCAGCAGGAGTGTTTTTGTTCATTCTTGGCCAGTAAGCTGAAGCTTCATGCTGCACACGAGGCTGGACTTCTGAAGACAATAAAACTTCTTGCAAAGTTAAACAGCAGCAAGTCCACTGTACATTGCTCTGTCAATCTGGAGGGCCAGTTTAGTCAATAACCTCACTCCTCCCTGCCCCATGTTGCAACCTTTATTCACATTGAAGAAAAATTGTCTTTTTTGCTCCCAGTCCTCTGCAGAGCAAAAAGACTTGTCTACGGGAGAGGAGCCTCTGGGGGAGGCTGAGGCCCCCCACCATGGCACGGGTCACCCCGAGTCAGCTGGTGAGCATGCCCTAGAGTCTCCTGCCCCTGCTAGCGCTTCAGCCAGCACTTCTTCGCTTCCCGCTCCTGAAGCCCAGCTTCTTCCTTTTCCTCGAGAACTGGCAGGGGTAAGTCCACCTCCACTGGCATTCCATGACTCAGGGGTCCCAGTCCAGACCTGACCCCTTTCCCATCGGGTCCTCAGATCTAGGCCCTAGATCATAAGAGGCTGATAAGAACTGAAAAAAGGCTACAAGGATCTCTCCAGCTCCTTTAATTCGTGCTGCCAAAAAGCCAGGAAAGATGAAGCCCCCTTTTACATTGAGACTTTTCCAACTGGGGGATCTGGACTCATAGCAAGATGTTCATCCTGTTTCCTGAAAAAGACATGAGAGATGGAGAGAGGAACTAAGTAGTAGGGTAGAACCTTCCCAATCAAATTTTACCCTTCTCCTTCCTTCCATTTTTCTTTCTCCTTTCCCTGAATCTGGGTGTTTTGAGTTCATTGTCTTAGAAATACCAGGAGCTCCAGCTTCCTTGATGTAGAGGAGGTGTCTAAGGCACATTGCTTTGCAAGACCTATGTGTTTGGACTGTGGTTAGGCTGTGAACTGCTTGTCTTCAATCAAAGCAGGAAGAAGAAAAGACTTCCTTTGAATCCAGAGGGAATCCCTTGAGCTCTTTATCTTTGTGTTCAGAAGGCTTTTGAAGATTATAGGTGGAGAAGATTGTGAACTCTCAAGAACAAGAAATGTCTGAGGTTTTTGGAGTTTGATAAATTGGGAAAGGTAAACATCATCCTCTGTTCAGGATTAAAAACTCTGTCCTCTAAGACAGAGACCCCATTCATATAGCAGGGAAAAGGACTCCTAACAAGAAAACAAAGGATCCCACCTGCCCCACTGAACACCAGTCAACTTTCTGGGGTGTCACAATCCCAGACCATTGGTGAGTCCTTTTGTTACATCACCAGCCCCCATGTTTTTAAGGAAACCGTGAAAAAATAGTCAATGTCATCAAAGCCTAGGATACACAGTAAGAGGTGATTTCAACCAAGGGGAGGCTGGAGGCATACTTTCTTACTGTGGAGCAATCAGTGTGTGCTGGAGAAAGGATAGGCTTTACCTGTGCCAGAATCTATGGGAGTTAAAATGGGCTTTGGGTAACAGAACATACTCAGATCCACTAAAGTCCAACCAGGAGCCACTTGCACCAGAATTTTCTGTGGGGCAGCTCTCATATGAAGAGCACATGAGGGGCGATGGCAAGAATTAAGAGAAATTATCACCTTTTTAAAAAATTTGGCAGGGCAGTCCCTGGAATTTTTTTTGAGTCCGGTATTAAGAGTTTCCATGCCTTCATCCTTCACAGGTTCGGGATAGCTTGCTGTCAGGGCCTGCTTTGAGCTTCATGTGAGTCTGCTGAGAGGCTCTGAGGGCCTCTGCTGCTGCCTGGCTTGAAAGCTCACCTTACATAGACATCTCCAACTAAAGAGGTCAAAAATGAGGTTCAAATGAAGAGTAACAAAAGGGGAAACCACAGAGATTGTGTCGCGCAGCCACCCTTCCAGAGGCGCTCAGGCTCTATCCTGTCCCTCTTTTAGTGCCCTTTCGGTGAGACCAGTTAACCCCCACCCTTCAAGAAGCCTGAGTAAGAAATGCTCAGGGGGCGGGGGGGGGGTCCCACACCTTCTTTCTGTGGGCAGGCCAGATGTTTCTGAAGCCTAGTCCGTGGAACTCAGCTTCTCAATTCTTATGGACTTTGCGTCAGAGGCTGTAGTCCAGAGAATTCAAGCATCCCCCGAACTGGCAAATAAAAGGTCAGGCGTTACAGCGTGTTGAGTGTCCATGGGGGAGAGCCAGAACCATGGGGAACAGTTTGTGAATGCACCAGTGTGGTGGCAGAGACCATGCATGTGACATACACATGTTGTTTAGTTTTAGCATTCATAACGCTAGAAATCCCCAGTCATCAGAAGTTCCAGCCACACCCCCTCGCATCATTTGGTGACAGCTCGGAGCCTAAGACGGGTCACTCCCTTGCTCTCCCAGCAGAGAAAACTGACTGGTTGCTAGTGGTGTCCACTAATTGGCTTTCTCTACTGATTGGAAATGTTCCAGGCAAAGTAAACTTTTTTTTTAGGTCAACTAGGGCATAAATGAAGGCACATGGAACCTGATCTTCCCCCACCCTTCCTCGTCCTTTCAGGCTGAGGCTTTTCTTTGGTTCACCTGACTAGTGGCTTTTGCACCAGAACAAATTTGGATCTCACTCTGTACCACACTGAATTCAGGAAACCGCCCTCGAGTTATCCAGTAGGTCTCATCCATCACGTTTAGTCTGTTCTTTATTCCACAATCCCTTGGGGTGGGTGGGGGGACATAAGGCTACAAGTTCTTTATGATAAATAGCAGCTCACTGAATTGTTGCTTAGAAAGGGCCCTTACCGTCTTTCAGTCTCAGCAGAACGCTGGCCATTGAAGACTCAGTACCAGGAAAAACTCTATATATCAGACTTCCTGGCTCTCGGGAGACAGTTTAAAGAACAAACCACATCCAGATTAAGTTCTCTGGTCTGGAGAAAGCAGGCAGCTCTTAGCACTTTGAGCTTGGCTGAAGTATACTGGACTGAAGTTCTGAGCCAAGGTGCTGCTGAGCCTAAAATATCTTTATTAGACCCACCAGGAAGCTTAGGAAGATTCTGGAATGAGCCTGCTGGCTGGACTGCCCCCCCTCATCTTCTGGCTCCTACATAGAATTTGACCATAGACTCACACACACACAAACCCCCAACCCCCACCAAAAATTCAAATCTTCAGTGGCCAGCTCTTTCTTTTTTCAGCATCTGTCTTTATCATAAGGACTGAGTTTATTGCCTCCATCACAGAATAGTGTTCACTTGGCCTGTAGTCCCTGTGAAAACAAGGACACTTCAGCGGGCCCTCCTTTAAGTGATTTCTCATCCCTGCAGCCACACCCAGCATGTTTTCTAACTGGTCAATCCAGAATGGGATCAATGAGGACCACGCACCCAAATGGTCTCTAGAGTTTCTGGAAGGAAACCGGTTGTCATTGTCTTGCTTTCTGATCTTTTCAGGAGGTCAGTGCTGTTCGTTCCTGCTTTTTGCCCGTGTGTCTGTGCCTGTGTCTGAGCACCAGCTTCTGAGACACAGCCTCCAGCCCATCCTCTCCGCCTGGCCTGGCCCCTTTGTCCTCCTTGAGACCAGGCCGGCTAGCCTCATAAGAGACGTGGGTTTTTGCAGGGGTGGGGGAGACCCTTAAAACATTCAACAGTCATAATTTCTACCATTCTACCCATTATGCAAAGAAGCAGAGCTCCCCACACCTACAGTACTAGGTTTCCCTACTTTGTACTTGGTGGCAGGCACTTACCTCACAGAATGAATGCTTACCCCTACCCCTACCCCCACCCCCAGGGTTCCAGTGACTTTTGAGGGGAGAAAACTGGCTGCCCCCCACTCAGCTTATAGGACTGAAAATGCTGCCAGCAGCACACAGTGAGCAGCTCCTTGGATTCTCCTGTAGCTGACGGCTTACCATGTTGCAGCCCAAACATCACCTGAAAGGACTTTCATCTTTCATGAACCTGCTTCATTCACTCACTGTCCTAACACAAGAGAAATAAGCTAAAGGGTGATCTTTTGATCTTCTCTTTTGCTTCCTATATAAATGTTAATTTGGGATAGTCATGGTACCCGGAATGGTCCTGAGCTCAGTGTTCCCTAGGTGTTTTCCTGAAGCTCTGACCCTCAACAGAGGTAGATTCAAGTATGCAAAGAGATTGAGATAGCAGAAGTTTCCACACCCCTGCTTTTGTTCTCAGTCCTTCCCTGGAAGCATACATACATCCTGGAAACCCGCTTTCGGAATCCTCTTTGCCCATCCCTGAGCTGCAGACATCTGAAGTCTGAGGAGTTGGAGCTTCAGGGACTGATTTCATACATGTCCCAGGCATTGTTCTCAGCCAACCCCTGAATACCCGTCCCATGACTGGAGGATTGGCTGCTTTGACGTGGCAGAGAACTGAACCCCCCCAGGCTGCTATGTCTGAGGAAAGTGTTTGTAGAGCTGGAGCTTACCTTGTGTGGCCATGGGAAACTTGAAAGGGAGCTGCTACATCCCAGACTTTTTCCTGGTTTGGGGGAAGATGGCATGAAGCAGCCAGACAGCAAACTCACCTGAGAGATCCTTTTCCCTACTGCCCCAGGCAGGGCCCAGGGTAGGTGGTTAAGGACTTCTACGTGAGTCAGCATAGCCAAGTCAAGCAGAAATGACTGCCATACATTCTGTTTTCTGCTTCCTTGCACTGGTTTCTGTAAAGAAGGATTGCTGGCATCCGTTTCCTGAGCTGGCCGTGCCAGACCCTACAAGAGGTTCCAGGAGTTCCTGAAAGGTTCTCCAGTGGGGGAATCATCCCGTGTTGTACTTGCCAGGCCTTCATCTTCCAGCCTTCCCAGGCCTTCTGCACATGCCTGTGGGGTACAGATTTGAGTGTTACCTGGGGTCAGGGATCTATAATATCTGAATCTTACCTGACTAGGGGCCTGTTCTTCAAGTGCACAAAGGGATGTAGCAGAGGATTCCATTATGCAGTAAGCAGTATCCTAGATGTTGGGTGTATGAGTCATGATCAGAACAAACATGGTTGGGCCTCATTGTAGTAGAAGACAGACAAAAACCACATTTGATCATTTTTAACTGATCCACAAATTGGGCCAGAAAGAGGAGGGAGGGTGAGAGGGGAGAGACAGCCTGTGATCATGGGCTCACACTGAGGGTCAGGCAACCTCAGGGCAGCCATACTGACTGGACCTGGGGGTAGAGTGTCCAGGCCATGGGAGTATCATGTTTAGGGGAATATTAAGTCAGGAACAGCATTTGACATGTTCTGAAAACAGCAAGGCTAGAGAATGCTGACAAGGAAAGATACCTAAGGAAGGGGATCCTCACAGCAGGGGTGCCGCCAGCCTGGGCAGAAGCCACAGAGGCCTCAGCTCCTGGTCTGGGTACTTGTGGGGAGAGACTGATATTCACCAAATTCTTGAGGATACCCAGATGCCTGAGAAATTTGGGGGATATTACTGGAAGTGAGGTGAAAAGTTAGGTGTCATTTAAAAGAGACCCAAATACACCAGCAAAAACCAGTAGAACTAAAGGGATAAGTGGAGGGTTCAGTCACCATGTTGGACACCTTAGTACGCCACCATCAGCTTATTACAGGGGCCACTTGGACTTAACGGTTTTCGGATGGAAACAGGAGGACTTGAGAGGAGACATTGGGTGTCCCGTGAGTGGAAGTGCCAGCTGGTTGCATGTTGTGAGGGGTGGGCATTGCCCCTGGAAGATTTAGCATATTGGTGGCTATGTCTTGGTCCTTGATGGACAGAGTAGGGCCTCTGGGGCAGAATTCTCAGAGTTGCCAGGGCTGGAGGTTTGCTGCCCACCTGCACTGGTAGTGATTGGTCAAGGGCAATGCTGGCTGAGATGTGACAACCAGGCTTAGACCCCTGCTGCAGCAGCCACCAGTTGCCTATGTGTTTCTCTCACCTTTGCCAACCAAGTATGAAGGTGAATATACCTAGAGCCTGCTCCACACTGCTGCCACCCAAGGAGGAGACTGGTCCCCAGTCTGTAGGCCCAATAACTTGCTAGTGATGCAGCGCTGTAGTACCAGATGCTAACCCAGACAAGAGTTCATCTCAGAGGCACCCCCATCCCCAAGTCCTGGACTCTTCACCCCCTCAGAGGGTTCACCCCTAGTCCCTCATTCCTGTCTCTGGGATATCACTGCATCCCAAACTCTTCTGATCTCTGAAGCCCTTGCTCACTGTCCCAGCACATGCCCAGGTGTGGCATCCAGTGGAAGTGAGTATGCAGGAGTTAGTGTGTCCTGGTGTAACCCATGAGCTCTGTCACTGGCTCAAAGCTTCCCTGTGGGGGAGGCACTAGCACCTCCATTTTCCAAGTGAAATAATTCACCCAAGGTTGAGAAGTGACAAGGATTTTAATTCACATGTGGGCCCAGTGGTCTGTTCACAGTTGCTCCAGGACTGATAAACCCCTGCTGTGTTATGGGGGCTTTGTGTTTCCAAATAGTGAGGATGGTCTCCTTTGAGCCCCCTGATCGCCCAGATGTACATGTGGCGATTGTGGTATCATCTCCTTTTCGCCTAGACCCATTTCCAGTAAACTCTTGGAACATGGGCTTGGAGAAAGAAGCCCAGGCTTGCTTTCTGACTCAAACCTGAGTCATGAGTTCCCATGGGGGAGGAGCTCCAGCTTGGGAGCTTTTTCTAACCGTCATGATTTAGCTGTGCAACTTCAAGCACACCTTCTGCCCTCTCTAGGCTCTCGCAGTGTTTTAGGATGAGAGTCCACAAACTCTGCCCAGCAGCCTGTTTTTGTGAGCTCAAGTGTTTGACTTGTGAAGGATTGTAAAAGCTAAGAAGAATATAGTCTGACCCTTCATGGAAAAGCACACCACACCACAGCCCCACTTGAGGTTTCTCAAGTTTCTCAGGGCTCCCATGATCTGGTGACTGCAGTTGGCAGAGCACTTTCACATGCACCACCTCATTTAATCCCTGACTGCCTGTGGAGGGAGGTGGGCCTCATCTGGGTAAACCTGAGCCCTGAGGGACTGGCCTGGAACTAAGAAAATCGGCTCTTCCTGCTCCTGAGTGAGTGCCCGAGCCCTCAAGGTTGGCTTTTGGTCACTTAGCTCTGATGAATTTCTACAGGTTCGGGAGAAGGGACGTAAAGAGGGATTATGTATTGTCCTGGGTTGGGAAGCAGTTAAGAAGTTGAAGACTTCTTCATGGCTGGTTGTTCACATTCTAAACCTCAAGATTGTTCAGAAGGAAATCCTTCAGCCACCTTCACTGTTCGCGTGTCACCGTTCAGTGAGTTCTGTCGTCTCCTGACTTCTTGTGTTTGACGGTTCTGTTTTGAGTGTTTTGCAGCTGATTTTGGTCAGAGGCATTAAAACTTGATTGCTTATGGAAATAAAAGCCCACCTTGAAGCAGAGTCCTCACTGTGGAATATGCCAGGACATGGAGTGGAATCCAGGGTGATTTGGTGTTATGCAACCGTTTTAAACAGAGGGGTCACTTTTCAGCTCTTGGCAAAATGAATTTTGGCCAGATAAAGTTTCACTGTGTTTGATTTGGGGTTAGCAGGCCAGTATGCCATAACCTGTGGAGAAACAAAGAACCTGATCCTTGTGCTATAATGGGTTCTCAGCCACTAAGAGGATTCCTTGGCACAGGGTCTTTAGGTAGAAGGCTTGTTAGAGTTCATTTGTGAGCTTTAGGTTGAAAGTCTGTCTATGATCTGGGTGGCTGAGCTTAGCCGTCAGTGCTGCATTCCAGGCCATTCATTATAGAATTCACCAATTCACCCTCTCACTGGATCCTCGTCAGTGTGACCTTCTCTAACCACTTTGGTGGATGCTCTTGTTTCAGAGATCAGCAGGAGGCTCCAGCCCTGAAGGTGGAGAAGGTGAGGAAATTTCTAAAGTGTTTCACCATCTTTGCTTGCAAAAAAATGGAAGCAGCCTGATTTTCTCCTCCTCCTCATTTTCTAGATTCTGACCGAGAAGATGGAAATTACTGCCCTCCTGTCAAGCGAGAAAGGACGTCCTCTTTAACCCAATTCCCACCTTCACAGTCAGGTAAAAGTTGCAGAATTTCACTGAATTGTAAAAGGATCCTTGTTTATCTGCCCACTAATGCTCCCACCGTGTTTCCCACCCCACTCTTGCATTTTTTGCCCATATCTGAGTAGAATCAATCGGAGACTCATTCTCCCTCAGGAATGAGATTAGAGCTTGCCTGGGGTGAGGCACCAGGAGTCCATGTCAGGAATCAGTGGCACTTACGGAGACTTGGTGCACTATTAAGAAGATGAGCCGAGAAATCTTCCTTCTGAAATAGAGGAAAAGGACTGTCATTAGCCCCAGTGTTAACTACAACTCTATCCAAAAGCTGCCATTTCTGTAGACTGGAGGTGTGGGAAATGGATGTTCTCCTAACTTTTCAGTTCTGCCTGGATCTTGGTGGTTGAGTTGAGGACCCCAGAAACACACACCCCCACACACCGGGAGCTGAGTGGCCCCAGCAGACACGTAGGTGGAGAGGGCTTGGTGAGGCCTTGCTGGGTGGACCAGGCTCGGCCACGTGGGCCTTGAGGTTCTGGATCAGGGAGAGTGGGGAGGTTATAAAAGTTGATGCAGGGAAGACGCAGGTTCTGAGCTAGAGAGAGAGAGAGAGACTGAAGGCCTTAGAGACACTCCTGCAGATGGAGGGGTATGTGCTACTGCAGGACCTGCCCCCCTCCTCCCATCCTGACTCAGTTCATCTTGCGTTGTGCCTGTTCTCGTCTCAGCTCTGTGGAGCTGACGTAGAGCTCCATGTGTATTCAGTGAAGCTCTCCAGTTACCCAGCTCAAAGTTCATTCTTGGGAAGTTCATGTAAAACATTTTACAACTGTGCGCCTTAAGGATTGCCACTTTAAGGAAAATAAAGCAATCTTGGAAGGTTTTTTCCTATTAACAAGAGCAGTGTGAACATTCCAGGAATGGACAACATAGGAAGTGAGTGTTCTTTCAGGATCATCCCTGTAACACATTGGCTTTTGTACCCATTTTCCTTAGCGCTTATTTTGGACGTTGCCATGTCCTTTCCCACCACTTTATCAGAGCCCCACATTGTCATTTGCTACCCAGCTGTTAAGGAACTGTCCACATAGTTTGTAGTCCGGCTGCTCTTGGCATCCTTTTTTCAAGGATCTCTGTGGCATAGGCCTGCCTGTGGAATGGGGGAGTTCCCACTTCCTACCTATTGCTTGTATTTTTCCTGTTAACTCTTGACTGCTGAGCCCACTCTCTGTATCAAGAAGCTACAACAGAGAAGAGGCATTGTGTGCTGTGACTGTAGGAGCAAAGGACCACCAAATGTCTTCTCTCTCCTGTTGTATAGACACCTAATAGATGCTCAGCACTCATTCATTAGGGAAAATGAATAGATGGTGGTGCCAGTAGTTTGCAAGCATCACCTTGCTCTACACTGATTCTACTTAGCTACATTCTGTCCTGATAGTTCTTAAGCTCCAAATTCCATTGCTTTGTTGCCTGGCCAGCAGCCCAGGAAAGCCCCCACTGGTGTCAAGGAGTGGGGTTCATACCGGGCCCCAGGTGAGACTCAAACATCTGCTGCCTTCTCCTTCCCTCCTGGCTACCCCCAGGATGCCAAGGGAAGGCCAGGGCCACAAGGAGACGAAAGCAGTCGTAGAACAGACTGAAATACTACAGATAAGGGCCTTTCAACTAGAGACCCCTTAGTTGCTGTAGAATCCAGGGGGATTGCTTTTATCAGGAGTAGTTAGAGGCCTTGGCATGATGCTGAAAGCCCTCACCCATAGTGGGGTTCACACCCCTCAGGTGGGAGAGGTAACGTTACTCCTTGTACATCTGCCCCACCTACTCACACTGTTTTTCCTCTTGTTCCTTCCCCTGCCCACATCTCCTTGTCGACAGTATCAAAAAACAATGTTTTTATGCCATCAAGCTTCTGCGAACCATCTGCAGGCAATTCTGACTCAGAACCAGGTGAGCCCTCTCATCCCCTTGCCTTTTGCAGCCAGTCACTGGGGCTTTTCCTGGTGAAAAACTTGATATTGTAAAAATAAAATCTTAGCTAGGAATGGACAATTTGAAATAAGGATTCTCTTTCATTTCCTGAATGACTCTTCAGCTAGTAGATTTGAAGTCCAGTGTGAGACAGACTTCATAAGCCTTAGTCTTGTTTCTGCAAAAGCAGGACTGGTTACAGGAGTTTTAAATCCTTTAAAAAAGAAAAAATAAAAAACCTATAAAGAGGTGTGTTATTCATTTTTTAAATTTTTACATAAGGAATACATATATACTATCTTTTCCAAAAGACCCCAGGCAGAAATACATCAAATTAAAGAACCCATCTGCCCCCTTGCCACTCTACCCCCATCCCAAAAGTAACTACTGTGGAGTTTATGTAATTTTCCAGCCTCCTTTTCTGGGTATTAAATTCTCACATTGCTTAATATTGCTTAGATCTGTTCAGATAAATATATTTAACCACATTTAAAATTTTAAGGAAAATGATGATCCCTCTGAGGAACATGGAGCCGTCCTTTTTTGGCCTTTTGCTAGAGAACCAATTCCAAGATTTCCTGAAAGTTTCCCCCACATGGCTAAAGTTCCTCATAAAAGATTTAATGAGCAAGTTTAACAACGGAATTCTGTAATCCAAACTGCCTTTTATAAATTCTTTGCTGACTTCAAAAGCTTTTCAACATAAGTCATATTCTGGCATGAGGGTGATGTCAGGGGAAGAGTCAAGGTTTTATAACTTTGGGAATTGGTTTGATGGCCCCATTTCAAGCAAGTGAATTCATTTTGAATCTAAAAGAAACTGTTTTGAACAGCACCCTGCCCTTCCCTAGGTTGGTTTTCAAGGGTCCTTGGAGATCTGCACATTGGTTGTACCTGGGATGCTGGCTTAGCAAGTCTTACCCTGAACTGTGCAGATGTATTAGCTGTGGTAAGCTGTTCTGGCCCACCAGTCACTGAAGCCACTCCTGATCCCTCTGTGCTGCTCTATTAGGAATCTCACAGTCACCTCTGAGGGTCTGTGAGTGACAGCCTCACTCCCTTTTCTCTCCCCTCAGACCTGCTCTGTAGGCCGCAACACAGCCCTGACCCTGGTCCCTGCTGTAATGTGGGGTCAGGTTAGATGTACATACCAGCTCTGCAAAATGAACTTCTTTATACCCATGCCTGCCTTAATTTTAGGGGGGAAAAAATTAGCTGACAGAAAAATGCTGACGTACTCCTGCATCTCTCTACCCAGCAACCCCATTTGATTTTCTCCAGCCATCCCAATATCCTTCTTCAAAAAGGGGCTCGACCCCAGATCACACATCTCATATCTCTTCTCCCATCTGGAAAACATCCTTGGTCTTTCCTTAACTTTTATGATCTTGAAGATTACCTTAAAGGCCAGTTGTTTTGGAGAAGAACTTCACTTTGGGTTTGCCCACTGTTACCTGGTGATTCAACCAAGTTACATGTTTGGGGCTAGACTACCACAGAAGTGAAGCTTTGTTCTTTCCAGTACACCCCAGTGGAGCACACATGGTGTTTGCTTGTCCTGAAACTACTAGTGGGGTTAGCATCGATCACTTGCTTACGGTGGCATCTTCCCACTTTCACCACTGTAATTTATGTTTCTTCCTTTGTGATTGGCATTTTCTGGAGAGATACTTTGAGACGCTAGGAAATGTCATTCCTGCCCTAATTTTGCCCTCCAGTGTTAGCATCTATGACTGTTTCTTTCTTGAATCGGTTATTACTCTGACGATCCCCAAATGGGCATTTTCTGCCTTCATCACTGCTCCTCCATTTATTAATTGTTCTGTAAGGAAGCACTTTCTCTTCCAGCTTACTTAATCATTTCTTTATTGTACCAATGTGGACTTCCAAATTACTGTTTCAGTCAGCGGCTTATCATGTGTTCTTAGTGTTTAACATTCAGTTTTTACTTTGATTTGCCTTTGGTTCTTGTGTTGTTTTGCCAGGTTCTGGTATTCTTTTAAGCACTTGTTCATTTCTGTCATAACAAGGTTCCAGGCTCATCTTCTCTCCCTGTCCCAGCCCTGTGACCAACCATTTCTCGAGGGGTCCTGGTTCTTTTTAGTGGAGAGTGGTCTTTAGAAACCAAGATCTGGATGCTCAGCTTATTCATTGATGTTGGGCTGTTACTGCTCACAGATGGTCAGTGCCTGCAACTTGGAACACACATAGTCAGGTGTAGACCTATATGCATACACACGTATATACCTGCACATAGCTTTCTGTATCTCCCTCTACCCTGTATACATGGGTAGCCACAGGTTCTCATGGATACTTCCAGTCCAGCGCCAAAAGGGTTTAAATTATATCCCCCCTCTCTCATTTCTGCCTCTCTCTTCTGACAGTAAGAAACCTGACTCCCTTTGTCTTAGTTGCAATGAGTTGTCGCTCCAGCTCCCTGTGCATGGCCAGTGCTTCCTGCCTAGACTAACTCCGTCCTTGCACAGGCCCTAAACCCTGCCAGGCTGCCTTCTCTTGGGCTCTTTTCAACCTCTGGTACACACCAGGTACAATTTTGACGTATTTTCCAGACTGAATCTCAAGAGTTGGGGTCACTCTGGTGACCAGAGTGGAGCAGAGGTGGAGCAGAAAGTATCCTCAAAGGAGCCAGCATACTGTCAGACTTGTTTCAGGGAAGGGTGCAGGTTGGCCCAGAAGGAGCTAGCTCTTCCCCAGTGAGCTCAGTGAGGGATGTGCATGTGCCCTCAAGAAGACCCCAGCCCACCTGCACATCCCTGTGCCCTGGCATGGTGGTGGGTCTCTAGCCACAAGACAATGCCTCTCCATTGTACTGAGCTTGTTACAGGGAAAGTGAGTTTTGAGGGGGTCATGAGAAAAAAGCACATTTGATTCATTGGAAATGGGGCCTATTTCAGGAGCTTCCAGAGTTTGGCTGCCCTGTGAACATAACCTCCTTTCTGTCCTGAGTCCCTGGCTGCCATTAGAAGTATGCACACTTGTCTGTTTATCTGTTCACAGCCGGGATTTCCTGCACATCTGCAGGGTGGGCCAGGCAGTGACCCAATGCTAATGAGTGGTCAGTGGCGGTGATTATTTAGGCCTGCTGCCCTCACTGGTCAACCTGGGCCAGCCCCAGGGGTCAGATGTCTGGTAGCATCAACTCCACACTGAGCAGAGCAGAGGAGAGCAATTTGTAGCTACAATGCAAACTTTGTGAAGCCAGCTCTAAGGGCTTTAAAAATGTTTCTAAATTGCCAATCATCCTCTGAATGTAATGTTGGCTATGTAATTCAACATTTCTCTTCTAAAAAATGAACATCTGGCAGTGCTTCTTCCCCCATGTCCTGTGGTGTCTGTCTCCCCTGAGTGTGGTTTTATGGCCCTTCTCTTGCGGGAGAGATACCAGCTCCACTAACACAGGCTCTTGGAAGCTTGTCAGGCTCCACTCCTTCTCACTAACTAGCAGTGAGAGTTTTATAATCCTGCTTTTGCCCAAAGAGAACAGTTTAGCTCACCTACCTATAAACAGCAGAAAGAAAACCTTCCTAATTCTTCTGAAAGTCTGATTGTCTTTTTTAACTACTGTAATTTTGGTCACACAAAGTGTTAGTGTTGTTTTAGCCATTAATTAGTTGGTTTTTAGTAACCCGCAGAGTTTTGCAGCCATAGCCATCACCATAATAAATTTTAGAATGCTTCATCACCCCAAGGAGACCCCATCCCATTAGCAGTCAATCCCTCCCCCCCAGTCCCTTCCGTAACTCCTACTCATGTGCTTTCTGTCCCTGTGGATTTGCTCCTCTGCACAGTTTATATTGATGGCATCATGCAGTACACAGCCTTCAGGGGTAGCTTTCCATTTATTTCAGTCTTTACTGCCAACACCTTTTGTGGATTTTGTTTGTTGAATGTATTCCCAAGTATTTTATTATTTTTGGTATTACTGTAAATGGAATTGTTTTCTTAACTTCTTTGTATTGTTCATTGCTAGTGTGGAAACACAGTGGATATTTATGCATTGATAGTGTTCTCTGTGACTTAAGAGATTTTTCTTATGGGTTATACCTTAGCACTAAAGAGAAACTGCTCTCCCTGTGCTTCTCTGGGAAAAAGTCGCAAGGCTTTTTATGTTTCCCATCAAGGATCATATTAGACACACCCTCTTCTGAGATGGGCAAAGTCAGCAAGACACACAAATCATGTGTCCACCTGTGTGGATACATGACTGAGCTATAACCAGGTTTTGAGCACTCCCCAAAGCCCCTGTATCTGTTAGCCCAGGCTTAAGTCCTAAGGCAACCCAGCTTCTTCTCGGTGGCCAGGATTAACAACCCTGCTTCCTTCCCTGGGGCCTTGTGGTGCTCTCATTAAGTGAAAAAGCTCAGCCCTCAGGCACTTCTGGAAAAAAGCACAAACTCTCTGTCCGCCACCTCTGACCATTCATCACAGAAAACTTGTGATGAACAGTACAGGGATGTTTACTGATTACAGACTCATCCTCTGACAAGACAAACCTAGGAAAGGGAGACGGGTCCTGGGGACTTGTTTTGTGTTCTTCAGGACCTGCAAGAGCAGCACTGTGTCCCAGCCTCTGCTGAGTGGGGTGATTGTAGGTTGACGCACCTTGTACTTGCTCTCCAATGAGTCAGTACTTCCTGCAGCTCTCACCTCCTCCCCCAGACTGCCCTACGGTCTCAGTGGCTTGAGGGGACACATCTGTGTCTGTTTCATTTAGAAACATTTTCCACAGTTCTCTTCCTCCCCTTCTCCCTCCTGGCCTTACCACCCCACCCCAGGCAGACCTGCTTTTTATCCTTTGTCTTGTACTTGTAGAGGAAAAGAGCAGTGGGTTCCGGTTGAAGCCGCCAACACTGATCCATGGCCAGGCACCCAGCGCAGGTAGGTGCCTGTCTCTGGCAAGAAAAACGAACTGGCTTTCTCATACCTTGCCAGGCCTCTGCACAGCATGTGTGTGCAGCAGTGCACTCCAGGCTCACCTGCCTCTGGGTTACCTCACCTTACCCAACCTTTGAGCACTGGAAAGCAGATTTAAAGAGTTTGGCACAGACCAGGGAAGTCAGACTTGAGCCCTCCCTGGGAAGGAGGAAGCAATGAGGAACATTTGCGCTCTGTGCCAGTAATAGCTCCTTTGCCTCTACTCTATACAGAGTATTCTGACCCCATCATGCCACACAGAATTAATCCTGATGAGCAGAGCGACCAGGATCCTGTGGCACGCTGCTAGTAAGTGGATACTCCAAGCAGTGGCGTGCACAATACACACCCTGTAGGTCCAACAGGAAAGTCCTTGGAAGGCTGAAAGCCTCTCATGACCCAGGCCCTTTTTGTGGTTGGCAGAGGGATTTTCCCAGTGTGGCATTTGGAAAAACAGGCACAGAGGGGCCCTTTATGCGACCTCTTCATTTCTTTTCCCTCACTGTCTGCACTTGACCCCAGCACTGGAGAACAACTGTCACTTCATTCCCCTGTAGCATCACTGCGCTCACTCGACATGATCAGTTATGTGGGAATTTCATATTATCTTATCTATAAATAACAACAGCCAGATTCTGCATGTCTAGCTGTAAATAAAATCTTGGGTTTTTTTTAAAAAAGGGCTTCCTGCAAACTCTAGCCTGGGAGGGACAGTAAACAGGTTGCTGGTGTTAATTTTTCTGTAAAGCACTTGAGAGCTGGGGATGATGTGCTTCTGCCCACCGGATCCAAGGGCCCTGGGCAAGCTGACTTCCATTCCCAGGTCTGCCGAGCCAGAAGCCCAAGGAACAGCAGCGGAGCGTGCTTCGCCCGGCAGTGTTACAAGCCCCTCAGCCAAAGGCACTCTCCCAGACCGGTAAGAAACGGCGGCCCTGGCGCCGGGCTCAGACAGCAGGGTAAAGCGGTTCTGAAGTCACGCCTGGGACAGCCGTGTCTCCACACAGGTGACTTTGGCAATATCTGCTGAATGCACTCAGAAATAAAGAGCTCTGGGAAACAGTCCTTAAAATCCTTGGTGACCCCAAGGGAACATGTGAAGTGATTCCACTTCCTCCCTGTGGCACCAGGGCCAAGTGTGACTGCTGGTGAAAACGTGCTTGGTACACACACTGCCATCCTAAAAGCTGGCCCATTTCCCCAGGTGTTTCAGATTTGTCCCTGCATGTTTGCAGGCAAAATTCAACCTTCTTCTAGTCTTCAGAGACTTCAAGGGTAATTTTGATGAGACCTGCATTTAAATCTCATTTGCCGAACTTAAGACATACCTCTTAAACAGTATTTCCTTTATATCCCAACAGATAGTAGTTAATCCTTAATTTCAGTTAATCCTTCATTTTCTAATACTAAAGAATTTTACTTGTCTTCTCTTGATCTGTCCCTGAATTTCCTAAGTCTTTATTAGAGGCAACATGTGAAGGAACTAGTTAATATTTCTGAGGAGTTTTTAATTACATGGGAAATTTTTTGGTTCTAATGCCAGACGAAGACAGATTTAAAGTTATGTATGTCATATAACTCTCAACTATTTAAAGGGGGAAAAAATGCATAAAATATAGTAAAATTTGTTTTATAAAACTCAAAATTTTCCCCCAATATATATCCCCTCCCCCAAATTAGTTTTTAATTACATGTGAAGTTTTTTGGTTCTAATGTCAAACAATCAAAGCTAGATTTAAAGTTGTACATGTCATGTAATCTTGAATATTTAAAGGGAAACAAATGCCTAGAGTAAAAACTAGTAAAATTTGTTTTATAAAATATCTTTTCCCCCCAATGTACTTTTTTCCTTTTTCCCCCCTTAATTAGCAGTATTGCTTCTAATACATTGAAAAGTCTTATTTTGTGGACTAAACAATAAGATAGTCTTGCTTCTGTGAGGTTTTAGTTTTTGGTTTTTAAACTAAGAATTTATGACTTTTAGTAGTGGCATCAGATCCTTTTCTTTCAAAAGGGAGAACTGTGCTCTTGGTTCAGCACTTCCTCTGGGCAAGAACGGGTCCTTGCTAAACTTAAGTAATTCTTGCTCTTTTCCTCCCCACAGTCCCAAGCAGCGGCACCAACGGGGTCACTATCCCAGCAGACTGCACGGGGGCCGCAACGTCGACATCACCAGACAACTCCACACGTACAAGTCCCTCTGCTGAGGCCCAAGCCCTCGAGGTCCGTCTGTGCTGGGGCAGGGCACACACCATGAGGGGAACTTCTTAGGGCTTTGCTGAACTCATAGTGTCTGTTGCCTGCTTGCTCTGAGCTGGGTCACCATTGGCCTGCATTAGGTTTTCTGAATGTGCTCAAAGGTTTCAGTACATAACCACAACTGATGTGCCAAGTCCCTGGAACACGAAGGTATCCCTCTTGGTCGTTCCAAGAGCACAGCTCTGTCCCAGAGTCCCCCAAACTAACATCTATCCCCATGTGTCCTGGGTTAGTATGCCTGCCATTGACACCCTAACCATTGAACTCTGCGAGTCACAGGCAAAAAAGTGGTGTTCATTGATGAAGGTGTTACCTATTTTACTTGGAGGAATGCCTCTCCACCCTGTCTCCACACCCTAACAGCTCCTGGGAGATTCGTATATGTGTGCCCATTCTAGTTGTAAGAGGGTGCCTGGAGAGTCAGCTCAGAAAATATGATTCAAAGAAAACCCATAATGGTTATGGGTTTATCTAGGCCAAAAGCATTTGTTTCCCAGTAGTGTTGCATTGCAGCTGGAAAATTCAGGGCATTCATGAAAAACCTGCTTTTGTAGCTGGCAGAGGAGAATTTGAAATCTGAGTTGCAGTAAGGCACCAAGGCTTCCAAATACAAAGTCATATCAGATCTTTGGGTTTCTTTCTACTCTGTCCATTCAGCAGACAGGCAGAGTCTCCACCCTCCCCTTCCTCCTCATATCCCCATAGATGTGCAGGCTCAGATGATGGAAACAGTCACCGGCTTTCCATTTTAAACATCCCTGAGCCCCTTCTTACCCACCCCCCACCTTCAGAATTGGAAACAGGAATCATTTCCATAACATACTTGTTGGGAACTTTGAGGGCTGTACAACTCTGACTTAGAGACCAGGGAGTTGCCCGCACGTCCCATCTTCCTCCAAGTTCCTCACTCATGAGCATAGGGGTTAAACTTGGGCACTCCATGGAGAAGATTCACCCTGTCCAGCCCAGGGGGTCTGCCTGATCCACTTTTACCTTTGGTTCTAGCCCTCGCCCAAGGAGCCACACCAAAAGAGATACGTGGAACAGGTTGAAATGGTGTAAGGTTGCTCATCTGGCTATCAGGGCTAATACGGTTTTGTCACTTAATAATGGGTTTATGTTCTGTGAAATGCATCATTCGGTAATGCCGTTGTATGACTGTCTTAGAGTGTAATGACATAAACCTAGATGGTGCAGCCACTCCATGTCTCGGCTGTGTGGTAGCCTGTTGGGACCCCCTCTGTACATGCAGTGTGTCCTTGAACCAAGCGTCATTAAGCAACATATGACTCTATGTCACTTCTTTTCAGTTGTTGTTTTGGTTTTTTTTTAAATAGGAGAAGGAATCCCAGAAAAATGAATCTAGCAATACTTCTGAGGAGGAAAACTGTGAGAAAAAAGAGCAAGTCGCACAGCAAGCATTTGTGTTTGGGCAGAACTTGAGGGACAGAGTCAAGGTACATGATAAGAGGACTGGGTGAGCCAGTGAACTAATGAATTATTTTATTTTCATGCCTCCCCCAGGTTAAACAACAGAAAGTCCCCACAAAGGCAGGTGGGAAGAGGACAGAGCCCATCATGGTGTAGTCCTGTGGCTCATGGCCCACTCAGCAACTGCTTGTTTTTTGTGCCTGACACACCCCACTGCTCGGCTCCTAGCACACACTCCCAGCTCCGTGCTACCCCCTCCACCCCAAGTGTACAACTCAGCAGTGGCTTCTGGCACCAGGCTCCCTTGATAATATAGTGGGGGACAGAGAAGCAAGCCACTGCGTGTGCTTCTCCCTGAGAATTGACATTTTCATGGCAAAGGAGAAAGCAAGTGTCACAATGAGATGCTTCGGAGGTCCCTAGGTAGGGTTTTTTTTTTTTTTTTACATTAGGATTTCTGTCAGAGCACTAGCAGCATTGGGCCATGTCTTTCTGAGTTGTTGGAGGTTTGCTCTGGGCACTGTGGGGTATTAGCCAACATTCCCAGCCTCTACCCACCTCAGTCATAACAACTAAACATTACACAGCCAGTGCTGAATGTCTCCCATAGGAACAAATCACCCCTGGTTGAGAAACCATCACCTTATTTTTTTAAAGTAAGGCAAGTGGAAAGATACTGTTTTCTTTCCCAAAGAAGGCACTAGTGTTTACCACCTCCTGACTGCCCCTTGAGTGGTATGTCAGCATGTCAGTCTGGTCTGGGGACTTTGAGTCAGTGGGTGGGGAGTGGCTGGCAGTACAGGAGATCTTGGCTCCGAACCCTTTGCACTGGCACTCTGGGACAACCAGATTTGGGCAGCACTACCTTTCCCAGACACAGGGACAAGATATTTTTCCATGGTGTATCCTGCAATAATCTCCTTTGGAAGCCTGGGAGCATTGTCAGTGGCTGTGTCCAGGGACAGCTGACGTGGTTGTACTGAAGGGTGGGTTCTTCTGCAGCCAGGAATGCTGCTCAACACCCCACAGTGCCCATGATGGCCATAAACAGAGGATGATCTAGCCCCAAATGTCAGTGATGCTGAGGGGGAGAAACTCTAAAATAAGGAAACAAATCTCTCTGGAGTATAAAAAACATCAGATCATGTGTTCTGCTTTCTCCTTTGGTACTTACTGTCCAATAGAAGCACAAATCTCCCAAGAGACAGAAAGTAGGTGTTGATGTTACACAGCTTTATGCCAGAATAATGAGTCCCGTGGAGGCTGTTCCCGCCAAGGGAAAAGAAACAGAACAAGGGAAGGTCTGAAAATCCACTCAGTGGGGGATGGGAACTTGGCCTAGGCCATCAGGCTGAGTCCATTCCCTGATTTTAGGGGAATGACTGCCTTGAAAGTGGGGTGAGGGCGGTAGTCTTACGGAGGTCAAAAACCTCCATCATCTTTGAAGTGAGCAGTCACATCCCAGCTTCTCTGTGGAGGATGACTTAGAGCCGTGATTTCCTACCGCCGAGCCTCTATGAGGGTGGTAGTGCCCACCTGCAAGGGTTCCTAGGCTGTTACAGTAGAAATGTTTAATGGGCATGGCACAACCGTCAGCATAAAAGGCGGCCTTGAGAAATGCTGCTTTTATCATGTTTATAATAAAGCCCTTCAAATACCAGCTTCGTAAGCATTCTGTATTCTGGGGACAGAAGCATCAATGAAATTTCAACCAGATGCCAGCTTGAGTGCTGTTTTTTTTTGAACAAGGGAGAAAAATCTGCCTAATAGTTTGTGAAACTCTTTCTGTATCTTAACCACTAAAATCGAAAAGGAAATTGGTTACAGTCCCATCCCCCGCTGTACACACATGTGCTCAAGCACAGGCACATACACAGAGTAGATGATAGGATTTGCACTTGGGCACTTTGCCATGTGATGTAGGGGCTGTGCAGACAGGCTGAGCTGTGGAAATCCAGAACATGCTGTTCTCTGAGTAGTAAATGTTTCCTCTCTCTCTCCCAGTTGATAAACGAGAACACTGAAGTAGCTGACATGGAGAATGCTGGACACCCCAGTTCAGAAGCACCAACCGCAACCAACTATTTCCTTCAGTATATCAGCTCCAGGTGCGTGTCTCTGGCTGGGCTCCCAGCCTGCGTATGGGAGAGCCTCAGCCACAGACGGGCCTCCGGCCATCCATCGTCACTGCCTCAGGCCCCGAGAAGAGGCAGCCACATGCACCAGGAGCCAGCCCACTTCCTCCCCAGAGGCAAAGTAGAGGGGAGGGGGTAGAAGGTTCTGGGATGGTGGGATTCAACGCACCCCTGAAGCAAGACCCAAGTTCTATAGGTTGGTGGACCCTGACCTTTGAGCAGCCTGTGTCACCAGGACCTCATGCCCAGGACAGACCCAGTGGGCCTTTTTTTTATTTTTTTTTTTTTAAAGATTTATTTATTTATACAAGAACCAGGGTACAGACCAGATGTGTGGGAGGGTGAGAGGATTCACCAGAAACAGCGGGGAACAGAACAGGCAGACTGATGAAATACACTGCTGAGGGGAGCAGCGGGTGAGACAGGAGGGGTCTGCCACCCCATGTGGGACCCTCGCCAGCCGGCTGGGATCAAACTGGCACTGCAGAGGCTGCGGACAGCTTCATAGCGCAGCGCTCAACCGCCTGCGCCACCAAGGGAGGCCCCCAGTGGGCTTTTTAAAAGACATGCTTTTCCACCACAGTATTTCCCAGGACAGGAGGTATTTACAGCCTTGACCTCTTTTATTGGCTCAAGTGTGATGGCAGTGGCAGTTGCCATTTGTTGAGCATTGCTTATGGGCAGCCAGACTCCCCCACCAGCAGCCCCAGGGGTAAGAGATGTACCTCCTTCATGTGGGCCAGGAGACGGGACTTAGAGAGCTACAGTGACTGGACAAGGGGTGGCCCACCACCGAGGAACAGCTGGGTTTCATTCCCAGAAGCGGGTTGCTCCCGATTCTGACTCCTGCACTTGACTTGTCCAAGACAGCGTCCTATTCTGCGTACCTAGTGTGATGTCCTCCTCCTGGGGCTTGGGGGCTTTCAGGCATGTCCCCTGAAATTTGGTGCCTCAAAGTGGGAGCTAACAGTCCGCGTTACGGTGATGCAGGCTGGCTTGGAGGCATGGAGGGTTCCCTCTCCCAGACTCCGCTTTCTGCACCGGAAGTTTGACTCTTTCCCCACCCTGACCGTGCGCGCATCTCATGTTCCCATTCAATTCTCATGGCACGTCTTCTCTTCAGTTTAGAGAACTCGACCAATAGTGCTGATCCCTCCAGCAACAAATTTGTATTTGGCCAGAATATGAGCGAGCGTGTGTTGGTGAGTGGCCCCGTAGGGACTCTTCTTCTGGGGACCCAGAAAAACCATTAGAATCTTCCCACGGGTAGAGGGTGTCCCTGTAAAATTAGGACACTTTTCATCACACATCAGGGACAGAGGGCCTGGCTTGGACTCAGCTTACAACTGGGGGCAGGGTAATCAGTGTCAGCTGCTGAAGGGGCTCTCTGGGTGTTCATATGTCCTGCCTTTCCTTGTCCTGAAGAAGGCTGCCCTTGAGTCATGCTTCCTCCCAGCTACGGCCACCCAAGCCGCAACTCTCAGACCAAAGTCTGGTACAGTGGGAGTCAAAGAACTGCTTCACAAGACAAAGATAAACATCAGGGTCTAGGGTGACTGGCAACTGGTGCCTCTGACCAAATGCTTGTGCCACAAGAGTTCTGGGCCCCGAGGGCAGTTTCCATGTAACAGGTAGACAGACCTGTGTGGACTGAGAGCTGACTGGAGCTGGCCACCTTTTTGCTAGGATTTACTGGCAAAAGATGCTTGGGGAGCACTGTGTGGAGGTCGGAGGTCTGACTGGGACACTCCACTTAGGGAAGGGGCATCCAATCTCATCCACTGGGTCTAGGCGGGTCCCCAAAGCTTTGAAGAGAATCCCTCTGTCCAAGCAGGGAAGTGCCGAGAGTTGCTGTCCCTGCAGGGGGTTCTCCTGTTCCGCTGCAGTCAGTCCTGCAATACCAATACGCGCTCCTCCTGGTGTGCCTTTCTTTTCATGCAGAGCCCACCAAAATTAAATGAGGTCAGTTCAGATGCCAGCAGGGAAAATGCAGCTGCTGAGTCTGGGTCAGAATCCTCGTCCCAAGAGGCCACCCCTGAGAAAGGTATGCTGGCAGGCCTGCTGCCCGAGAGTCAGGGGAGGAGGGTTTGGAGATATTGAGGGATGGGAACACTGTTCATCCAAGCTGCCCGGGAGGTACAGGGGAGCTGACTTGCCTCAGGAGTAACAACCACATGATCTAGCTATGGGAACAGTAAAAGGCGTGGGCGCTGATTTTCTGTGAGCCGAAAGGAACATGTTCACTTTAAATGTTGAGGCCATGGTGCTGCAAGGTGACTCTGGGAGAGACCTGCTGCGTAGGCCACTTCGTGCTCTGAGACAGCATGGGGCAAGGGGTTCTCTTCAGTGTCCTCTCAGAAGTCTCTCACCCTTTCTCTCCTGTGCTGACTGGGACACTGAGGAGAACCAGAGCCGCTCTGGGCAGCTCCCACATGGGAGTCGAGGCTGTGTTACTGGGCTTGTTTTCTGGAGACCCTCCAGGTCCTGGGTGTGGCACTTTTGCAGCCCGCGCCAACCATTTTTGGTGTCCTAAGGTGTGCACTCTGCTTGCCCCACCCCCCCACACCCCAATAAATAGTGTCGTTCAGCTAATAACATTTCAGAGTCCCTGGTCGAATCGGCAGCCGCTTATACCAAGGCAACAGCACGGAAGTGTTTGTTGGAAAAAGTGGAAGTCATCACCGGGGAAGAGGCCGAGAGCAACGTTTTACAGGTGAGGCAGCCGGCTGGTGGGCCTCTGGGCCCTTTGATGGGCAGCAGTGGGGTGTGTTCGGGGTGCAGCCCCCAAGGGCTTGGCCACAACCTCCAGGTACTCAGACCTCCCTCAGTCTTCCCTTGGAGGTGACCAAAGTGTCAGTGGCACTACTCTGGCGACTTTGTTGAGATATGAAACATTTTGTGTTTTTCTGTTTTAGAGCAAAGGATCTGTGTTGAGAGCTTGGTAGTTGAAGAAAATGCAAAGAGGATTGTAACAAACACCTCCCACACCTAGAATTAACAGCCATAGTTACTTGCCATGCAGGCATCCCATGTGTTTTATCAGGGGGAAAAGTCATAAATACAACCTAGATTTTGCTCCACTTTTTCCTTGTCTTCGTCCTCCTCCCACTCTGGGGCAACCTGTCTAGTTTTGTGGGCTCATTCATCTGCTTCTCATGTTTTCACATACACATGTGGGTGTGTGTCTGCCAACCACATAGCAGACGGGCGGGTTAACGTGGGGTGTGAGTAGTACTTCTCTCCCCCACTCAGCATTGTTTTGTGATCCCATGTTAAGACATACTGACTTAGATCTGCAGGCTGTCTCTGCATAATGGTCTCTATTGCATATTCCATGTGTGTGCGTGTAGACAACTTTCTTGAGATACGCACCTATTATAAAATTAACCCTTTCAAGGAATAAAAGTATGTAATTTTTAGTATATTCACAACTTTAATTGAGAACATTTTTGTCCCCCAAAAAGCAACTTCATGCCCATTAGCAGTCGGTCGCTCCTCCAGCCACTGGCACCACAATCCCACTCTCTATCTCTGTATTTGCGTGTTCTGGACACTTCACATCAATGGAATCACACTCTGTGGACTTTGTGTCTGGTTTCTCTCCTTGAGCACCATGTTTGAGGTGAATTCACATTACAGTGAGTTTCAGAGCTTCCCTCTTTATGACTGAATAAATCCAGTGTCTGGATGGACCACTCTGTATTTATCCATTCACCTGTTGATGGACACTTGGGTTGTTCCCACTTCTTAGCATTTATGAGTAATGCTGGTATGATTGTCTACAAGTTTTTATGTGAATATGTGTTTCATTTCTCTTGGTAGAAACCTAAGAGTGGAATTCCTGAGCCACGTGGTAGCTCCATGTTTACCATTTTAAGGAGTTGTTTTCCACAATGGCTGCACCACTTTCCATTCCTACCAGCGGTGTGTGAGGGTTCCAATTTCTCCACATACCTGTTCTCTGTCTTTTGGGTAATAGCCTTTCTTGTGGGTGTGAAGTGACGATATCTCATTGTGGTTTTGATTTTCATTTCCTTAATGATTCTTTTTTGTTTTTAATACCCCTTTGAAAATGCAAACTCCCTTCTACCTGGAAGCTGAGTGAACAAAAGCCAAGGGCCAGATCTGGGCCCTCTCCCCTCCCTCACCAACCATAGTTTGCTGACACCACCCCCCTCAGTGGTTCACACAAATTAGATGGAAGGTTCCCCCTTCCCCAGGTCTTGCTCACCCAGAGGCCGCCTTGTGTTCCAGATCCAGTGTAAGCTGTTTGTATTTGACAAGACTTCGCAATCCTGGGTGGAGAGAGGACGGGGGCTGCTCAGACTCAACGACATGGCTTCAGCCGATGATGGCACGTTACAGTCCCGACTAGGTGAGCTGCAGTGGAGGCTGGCGAGACCTCCTGCGGGCTTCTGTGGAGAGGGCTTGGGGTGGTGTGGTTTCCCAAGACTGTGTAGGGCCCAGACCCAGGCACAGGGAAGCAGATCCCCACAGGAGGACACTTAGATCAAGCGGGCCGGGCCTGACCCAGAGGCTCTAGCTTCCAGCCTGTCCACGAACTCTCCTGAGTTTTACAATATATAAAAAGTATTTAGCGGGCCTCCCTGGTGGCGCAAGGGGTTTAGCACCACACTATGGGGTGATTGCAGCCTCTGTAGCACAAGTTCGATCCCCAGCCAGCCAGGGAGCAGTCCACATGGTGAAGCAGACCTCTTCTGTCTCGCCCGCTGCTCCCCTCCGCAGTGTATTTCGGTCCGTCTGCCTGTTCTGTTCCCCACTCTGTCTCTGGTGAATCCTCTCACCCTCCACACCTCTGGTCTGTACCCCAGCTCTTGTATGCATAGATGGACTAAATCTTTTTAAAAAAAAGATTTAAAAAAAAAAAGCAATTTTTTTTTTGAAGATTTATTTATTTTTATACAAGAACTGGGGTACAGGTCAGAGACATGGGAGGGTGAGAGTCTTATGAGTAACTCCCTGGCCAGCTGGGAATCGAACCCGCACTGCAGAGGCTGCGGACAGCTTCACAGCTCTGCGCTCAAACGCTGCGCCACTGGGGAGGCCCTATTTAGCAATTTTTAAACTTATTTTCTGATAATAAAAGTGCCAACTGTCTTATGGTAGAAGGGAAACCCCCCCCCCAAAAAAAAAGATCAACATCAGGAGTAAAATCTCACTAATAATATTTTGTTGGTTCTTTGATTTTTTTAGGAAATGGGGGAATATTTTGTCTCCTGCTCTTTTCATTTGCTGTTTTGTGAACACACTCCATATTGAAAGAAACTTTTATACACTAGTATTCCATTGACAGTGGATTTCTGTGACCATCACATTGGTGGACATTTAGGGGGTTCCTCCTTTTTTACTTTGACTATTGTAATACTTCTGGGGCTATCTACAGGTGACTCTGACTCCCAGAAGTCTGCTGGTTTAAAAAATGGATGTGGGTGTGTGTGAAAGAAATATTTGCGTTTTTTTCTACTTTTCCCAGATGAAGGTGGTTTTCCAGCCTTCACAGAGAAACCTACTCCCTGCTCAGTAGTATCTGAGAAATGTCTTCACACCCTTGAACTCAGAATCTTCCCAAGGATTAGAACAGAGATGAAAACAGCCCTCCTGTTTAGGCTCCTATTTTCTCCCCCTTGGATCTCCCTCAATTAATTTTTTATTTTTTTTAATGGAAATTTTCAAACGTGAACGGAGCGCATGCAACGCGTTGCTGCTACCCCTGTGTCAGCCTGTGGGCAGCCTCGCTACAGCTGCAGCCTCCCTCCCTCCTTGAAGTCCACTCTGGCCCCGCTTTTCCTTCACCCAGCACAGCCTTGATCCTTACCTCAGACCTCTCAGCCCATGGAAACTGCTACTCGCCCCAGAGGTGGACACATTGGGCCCACAAGGCCAGGCTTGGGGGACTTAGAGAAGGGCCTCATGGAGATCGGGGGGGGCCCCGGACCCCGCAGCTCTTCCTGAGCTAGCCCATGCTTCTCCCCTCCTGTGTGGTCATTTGGAGCCCTGGGTTGGGGTGACAAGGCCTGTACATGGGGAGAGCTGGCCTGGCATAGGTGGGGAGTAGAGGGGGGCATGTGGGTAGGCTGTCACAACTCTAGCAGGCTCACGGAGCCTTGGGTAAGCGCTGGGTGTCCCACATACCTGCAAAGAGGAAATTTCTACCCCCCGTTCTCTCTGCCATATACTGCCTCTATCAGCCTGTTCCCTCCTGATGAAGCTCAACAGCATTGGCCTTGACCCTCTAAGAAAACAACGGTGCAGGTGCTAGGGCTTAGGCCTCTGGGTGGGAGACAGTCAAGGGGTATCAACTTTTGTGTGGCTTGTCCTGAGTGTGCAGCCTACAAAGCCTGCCAGCTGCCCCTGCTGTCCACCTCATGCTCCACCTAATCACCCCTTCCCCAGGGGCGCCACTGTCCTGGCACCCTCCACTGTATGTGGTCTCTTACCCCACCAGCAGACCTAGAGAGGGAGGGTGAGGCTAGCCCCAGCAAATAAGGACTGTTGAGCTGGCAGGTTTCCATGGGATCTGCCCTATGGTGTTTTTGCTCTCCTTCTAGATTGTTTGTTCTGGTAGCTAACAGTTGGGGGGCCGGGGAGTAAGTGGCCTTGTTGATTGCAGTGATGCGAACCCAGGGCAGCTTACGGCTGATCCTCAACACCAAGCTCTGGGCCCAGATGCAGATCGACAAGGCCAGTGAGAAGAGCATCCGCATCACAGCCATGGACACCGAGGACCAGGGTGTAAAGGTCTTCCTCATCTCGGTGAGCAGCACCGGGGACGCAGGACAGGCTGGTGCCTGCCTTTGAGGGACAAGGCTACCGAGAAAGCCCCCTTGACACAGGGAGCTCCTGCCTCTACCTCACCCCGGCTCCTCCAGCCCTCTCCTTGTGCACGGGTGTGTCAGCCAGGGAGCGGGCAGAGAGACCTCTTGTGGGGTGGCCCCCAAAACCAGCAGGTTCAGGTCAGTGGAACAGGGACAAGAACGGCACCCAGGAGGAGAGGCCCTTGGGGCAGTGGGTCTTTGAGCCACTGTCCCCAGAGTTTGTCTAGAAGAGGGAGTTGGGTTTCTCCCCAGGAGACCTTGTAACCGGCACTTTGGCTCTGCCTCCCATAGGCCAGCTCCAAGGACACCGGGCAGCTGTACGCAGCCCTGCACCACCGCATCCTGGCATTGCGCAGCCGTGTGGAACAGGAGCAGGAGGCCAAGACACCAGCCCCCGAGCCCGGGACAGCTCCTTCCAACGAGGAGGATGACAGTGACGATGACGACGTCCTGGCTCCATCGGGAGCCACTGGAGGTAGTGAGCTGGGCAGTCCCTGCCCCGGGGGGTACGGGAGGACTAGTTTCCTAGGTCCCCTCCCACCTGCTGTCCCCAGCCTGGAGCTGACCTCTGGACATGGGTTGCTGACCCAGGGAGGAGGGGCTCCATCCAGGATGGGACCTTGACGGTAGGTCCTTGCTTCCCACAGGCACCGGCGACGAAGGGGATGGGCAGACAGCCGGGAGCACATAGCGCCGGGAGCCGCTGCCCACGAGCCTGCTGCTTTGTCCGTCTGTCCGCCCGCCCACCTGCCTTGCCCCTCTGCAGCATCGAGGTGCGGCGCTCGGGAACCACACTCCCCGTTGGGTTGGCCACAGTTCGGATCCGCACGGCCCGTTCAGAAGCAGACTCGGGAACTGCCTGAATGTGGTTTGGGACACGAGACCTCATCATATTGATGAGCAAAAAAAAAAGAACATTTTTTTCCCTCCCCTCCTTTGAATTGAAATGGCACATTAAGACTTGTCACGGCTTCTCACTGGGACACCTGGTTTCTTCCTCCCTTCCTCGTGTCGCCGGCCTCTCCCCGCCGCCGCCCACACCCCTGCCCTGTGGGTTCCTGCTGCCTGCCCAGGCCCCCGGCCAGTCCTCACAGGTGTGGACACTGGGCTGCTAGGTGTGTGTTTACTGCTCTCTTTATCTCCTGCTCCCACATTCTGATTTGGGGCTCTTTTTTTAGATCTTTCCCCCCCGGGGCTTCACGTTTGGTTCCTTAGATTAAGACGTCATGCGTCAAGCATTTGCAACTCCATCGTGGGCCTTGTCCTCCATCTTGCTGTGGTCCTGGCCTCTGTCCAGGCCTTTTGATTGGGTGGGGGTGCTCAGTGAGCTGCTCAAGGTGAGGAAGTGGGCAGACCCCCACTTGTTCCTCATCTCAGGGGCCCCAGCCTATCTAGAAAAGGGCCCAGTGAACCTGTGAGGAGGGGTCTTGCCCATTCTGTCACTGTCACACCCAGGCTTCTTCCTGCTGTCAGCCACTCCTGCGCCATCCTGGATGTCATTGTCCCCAACACCATCTGGGGCGGGGGGCTTCTATCAGAGGCAGGGAGTACCCTAGCCTGGCCTTTGGGGAAAGGGCAGCGGTTGGGTTCCAGACAACAGACTGTCCACACGCTCACAGCACACACAGCAAGTGTTGTGCCCACCCTCACCTTGGCCATGGCTGAGACCACTGGACACCACCTGCCTGCAGAGGCCCACAGGGAAGGGTCCTGTGCACAGGGCACCATGGGATTTCAGGGGAAGCCGCCAGGCCACACCCTCAGAGTGGGGAGAAGCCTGGTCTCTGCAGCTGTGCCGCCTCCACCTCAGGTTGGAGCGTGCAGCCTGAGCCGTGGGAAGACACCAAAGGCCCTCCCAAGAGATCCGGCCACACTTTTCTGCTTTAAGCCTTAGCCAACTAGTGACAAGTAAAACCAGATAATGCCCATGTGTTTTGGAACATTTATGTAAGATTGTCATATGAAATGTATTTGGGAACTACATTAAAACTTTTAACTAAAATGTTGGCCTCCTGCATGCCCCAGGGGCCTCAGGAAGCTGCACAGCCTGGCCAAGAACCACCTCCGCCTCCTAGGGCGAGGTCCCCAGCAGCCTGGCCTCCCTGTGGGCCCCTGGCCCCCGCCCCATATGCCACGCCTGGGCAGGTGACCAAACTCGCCTGCCCTTCAAGAATGGCTGCCTTGTGCGGGGCCCTGCTTCACTCAACAGCCATTTGTTGCCCCACCCAGGGCCACCTCGGTTCCTGGAGGCCTCACAGGGAGGGGCAGGGGTGAGAGTTGCTGGCAGGGCCAAGGGTCCACTGAGCAGATCAGAGGAGGGGTGGGGAGCATGTGCCACAGCATGAGACTTGGGCTTGCAAGGGCCCTGCTCTCTAGGGGCCTGAGCCAGTGGCCCGCTGTTGGAACCTCTCACCTGGTGGCTGAGCACCGTCCTCCAGATCAGGTCCAGTCAGTTCTACAGCCCCAGTATTGCCCGGCTCACAGCCCAGGTGAGAGGGGCCCCGGCTCAAGGGTGCTGGGGTTGGGTGGGGGGGGGCGTCCTACAACTACAGTGGAGACATCTAAGGGGTGTGATGCTCACAGCCGCCAGGCACTGGTCATCATGGCCACAAACTCGTCGTCTGTGTCCATGGAGGCGCTCACACCGCTGTAGTAGTCCTGGAATTCAGCCAGTGTGACCTGGGGGCAGACGGGCCACGAGTGGGACCAGAGGCTGAGGCAGGAGGTGCGGGGGGAGGGGCTGCTGTGTGGGTACCCACCTGCCCATCCTTCTCTGAAGAGTCAAAGTTGTCCAGAAATTGGCGAAGCACTTGCTCTTCCGTCCACTCCCCACTCCGCACCTTGGGATGGGCACTTCCGCTGTACACCCCCCGGAGGTCCTCCACGGTCACCACGCCGTCCCCACTGCGGTCCAGCTTGGCAAAGGCAGCTGCAATGACTGCCTCACGGGCCTGTGACATGGGGGGCTGAGGAGGGGAGAGGTGGTCAATGTGGGGGCCCAACCCAGACAGTGGGGTCTGGGCCCCAGAAGGGACTAGCTCCTGGCCAGGCACCCTGATCTCACCCGGAGCGCCCGTAGAAACTCCTCCAGGTCCAGCGTCCCGCTGCCATCGCGATCCCAGCGTCTGCAGATGCCTTCCACCTCAGCCGTGGCCAGCGCCAGCCCCAGCTTGGCCAGGCCCCGCTGGAACTCCCCCACATCCAGGGATCGGCTCCCGTGCTGATCCAGGCGGCGGAAAAACCTGGGGGACAGGGGATGATGTTGGAAAGTAATGGGGGGAGCGTTGGGGAGGTGCAAGGGGACAACTCACCTGGCCAGGCAGTGGATGCCCGAGACCCCTCGAGACAGGCACTGTGCCCGAAGCTTCTCCATGGTGGCGTCCACGGCATCCATGCTGAGTCAGGGCTCCGGGCGGCCAGTTAGGGAGACAGGTCAAGGGGAGTCCTGCTCAGCCGGCCAGGCTGTGAGCAGAGTGCAAGAAGCCCACCGCGAGGCCGGCTGTCCTGGAGCCCTCCAGGTGGCAACTCTGGCTCCTGCCTGATTTTCCCAGGATAGTTCAGTGGTGCGTCCTGCCCAGCAGGGCTGTTGCTAAGGGACGGTGCCTCCGGGTACTGGGCGGGGCCCCAGCTGTAACCCTCACCATGCCAGGGGCAGAGAGGGACAGGACAGTGCTAGCCCTAGCACCACTGCCAACTCTGTCCTGCCTACACCCTCTGCCAATCCCACAGTGCCAGGAGGGAACCCCTTCCTGGTCACAAGGAGAGACCACCACAGTGTTGATGGGGGTAGGCAGCGCCCTGGCCAGGGAGGCTCACAGCCGGGTCCTGTGGCACCTGAACTAGGTCCCCCTTTTCACTCAGTAGCAGGCAAAGCTGCTGAGGGGGAGCCAAGTTCCAAAGGCTCGAGGTGATTGAGGATGGCGCATTGGATGTGGACCTGAGCCACCAGTACAGGCCGAGACAGCAGAGTCTGACAGAAGGTTCAAGGCTAACTTCAACAAAATAGTTCCTAGTTTGTTATTTAGAACCAGACACAGAGCTGTCAGCGTGAGTCTCTTGGTGACTGGCTCAGTTATTAAACATGCTGGACTCACCCATGACAAGCTAGTGAGACAGAAGCAGCCTGACCCTGGCATCACCCCGGAGGAACCAAGGCCACCGTTACCGAAGGCGTCAACCCGGACTTGGACATCATCATTGCCAACGCCACACGACACCGACAGGCGGGATCAAATGAATGTCCCGGGATTAAAACATGGGTACCCAGCACCCGCACAGTCTCAGATTGTGGGACGTATGTCACAGCCTGGACTCGAAGCACAGCTGGGTTGTCAGAAGTTGCTGTTACGGTCAGAAATCAATCCATAGGTTACAAGGCAGCCAAGGCTGTGATTCCAGACAAAGCCGGTGTAACACCGACAGCTTTATGAGAAACCACAGTGAATGCCGCTCAAGACTGGAAGCCCAGAAGGCTCCCGCAGGCAGAGGAATACTCTATTGTGGTTTTTTGCTAGGAAAAAAAAAAATCTTTTATAGGAAAATGTAAATGTAACCACAATGTTTTCGGTTTGTTTTAGCAGTTCCTCTAAGCTAATCAGAAGTGCAACAATAGGGCCTCCCCTGGTGGCGCAGGCCTTTGAGCACAGCGCTGTGAAGCTGTCCGCAGCCTCTGCAGCGTGGGTTCGATCCCAGCTGGCCGGCGAGAATCCCACATGGCGCAGCAGACCTCTCCTGACTCGCCCACTGCTCCCCTCAGCAGTGTATTTCATCAGTCTGCCTGTTCTGTTCCCCTCTCTGTCTCTGGTGAATCCTCTCACCCTCCCGTGCATCTGGCCTGTACCCCGGTTCTTGTATAAATAAATAAATCTTTAAAAAAAAAAAAGTTGCAACAATACCCACCCCCCAAAAAAAGTCCCGGGCTGAATCTTGCTTTCCACAGCTGCAAAATGGGGCAATACCTGCATCTGCAGCCGCCAGCAGAGGTCAGACACAAGCATGTGTGTTGCGCGTGGGACAAGCTCCCATGATGGTTGCTTGTGCCCCGCCCGGCAGGGACCCAGCTCGGGCTGCGAACAACACTGGCCACTTCAGCCCCCACACCAGGAAGAATGGAGAAAAGACCAAGAATCATCCGGTTTATTCTTGAGCACAGAGCACAGACAGGCCCCAACCTGCCTTCCCCTCATACAAACAAGCCCCCCTTATTCTTCCAGAGAAGAAAATGGGCCATTGTTACTACACTGAGGGGTCACTGTTAGATGGAGGGCAGGCGGGCGGCACCGTCCCGAGGGCTGGGGATAGATGCCGACCTTTCTGGCTGGAATGGGCCCTACCCCCTCCCCATGGTTCCTGGTGTGACAATTCCCTGAGTAAGGAGGCCGGCAACAGTTGCCATGGCACCAGGCTGGGCAGAGTGGGGCACGAGGATCCCCGGTTTGATAAAAAGCAAAGACCCCAAATGTCTTGGGCTAAGAAGGGCAGCTGGAAGAAAAGGAGTTTAAAAATAGATTCTCTGGGGAATATAAAAAGGAGCTGGTTGCTTGCTACAAAAGCTAGACTGGTCCAGGGGCCTCCCCTGGTGTCCTGGGACTCCTGGCTGCCCTCAGGCCCAAACACCCATCCAGTCCCTCCCTACCGGGGTCCGTTCCCCAGGTGAGCCAGGTGCTGGTGACAGAGAACAACACAGACAGAAACCCTGCCCTAATGGAACTCACACCTTCATGGTAAGAAGTTCCAGAAATATAAAATGGAGTGATGGTGGGAGGTCGGCAGAGGAATTCCTTCAAATAAGGCTACCTGACCTAAGGAGGTGACATTGGAGCAAGAACCTGAGTGACAAGGAATCAGTCATGTGACACGCAGAGGAAAAGCCAGCATAGAGGCCTGAAGGCAGGACGTGATCAAGAAAAGGTTAAGGGATGCCTGAGCTTTCTTGGGCAGCGCAGCCTGGCTGCTACCGTCTCAGCATATCCCACACACTCTTTTTTCTGGGTTAAATTAGGCTGAGGGAAGGACAGTTTGGGGGGAAAAAATACCTAAGATTGAAAACGTGTCTTCATATGAATGATGAAAAAAAGCATAACGCTTGAGACTCCAAATTCTGATCTGGGATGAAAAGTAAAAAAAAAAAGCTTTAGCCAAGGAATGGAGGTTGATTCAGAAGAAACAAGAATCAAGGCAAGGGGGCAAATTTATGAATCTCCCAGACAAAGAGAGCTCTTAAACCAGAGGCACCAGAGGTCAGGTGACCTAAAGGGTGAGGGGCCAAATTGAGACTCTCACTTTAGCTAAAGAGGGTCCCCTGGGCTCGGATCCAGGCAAGCAGAGCCAAGTCTGAAGCTAGAAGTCCAGAAATGTGTAAGTGCTGACAACTTTTCAACAAGAGTGATTGGTTCAAAGATCTGTCTAGGCTGAACACCTGCACATGGCCTGCTGGCTACCCATTTGGAGCCTATGCCGCTCGTGGGTTCTAATGCTTGGACAGGATTATGGCTCTGCCCGGGGGTCTCCTTTGGAAGACTGTCGACCCCCAAGAACACCCACAGCAGTGAAAAGTTCCCATCCGGACCCTCTGACTCAAGTCTAGAATCTGCACTCCTGGGCTCACACAGTGGTCCCAAACACGGCAGGCTGCAGGTGATTCCTGTCCTCCTCCTCCCCAGTGTTGTTGGCAAGGGCTGGACTGGGCTGGCCAGGGAGTGGGTGACTGGGGTCACTGGTTGGCAGAGGTCCCAGGCGCTCGGCCTCAGCCAGGGCGGCCAGCAGCCCAGCCAGCGGTGACCGGCGGCGACAGATGTCCTGCAACAGCTTGGCCCGGGGTTGCAGCTGCCCGATGAGCTCGTCCCTCTGGTGCACAGCAGCCTGCAGACTATGGACAGTGGCCTCCGTGGTCAGCAGCTGCTCCTGAAGAGCGGCAATCTCACTGGCAGAAAGGCAAGACACAGCAGTTACGGTACTGAGAGACCAGAGGTTCACCTCCCAAGGATCAAGGCCAACACAGCCTCAAACCACTACTTCCTCCCTTTTTGCGGACTGCATGTGTGTATGCCCCAAATTCATGTTAAATCACTACCCATCCCTCCCAAAGGAGGCCACGAGGGGCCTTCATTGAATTATTACCCTCATAAGAAGAGACGTGGAGAGTTGGCCTCCCCTCATTTGGCCACGTGAGGACACAGGGAGAAGACAACCATCTGCAAACTGGGGCCCCTCCCCAGAAACTGAATCTGTGGGTACCCTGATAATTGGATTTCCCAACCTCCAGAACTGTGAGGGGGAAAATTCCTGTTGTTTACACAGCCGGGTCTGCTATTTTGTAATGGTAACCTGAACAGATTAACACCTCTCATCTCCCCCCCTAGCTCCTGCTGTAGCTCCCTTTCCCCTTCTTTTCCAAGCCTCCCCTGTGGGTTCCCTCAGTGTCCTGCGTGCCCCCATCACCTCCGCGATGGCTCCATGTTGTAACTGCCTAGGGCTGTGTCCGCCTAAAGGGAGGGCTCTGTGGGTCTGAACCCACACGTGTCCCCGTGTCCGGCACAAGGCCTAGCTCAGTAGGGATGAACGCATGCCTCCAGCCGACAGACAGAATCGAGCGGGGTCCAATGCTTGGAGAGGGTTATGGCCCTGCCCGGCTGGGGGCCCGCACCCCCGCCTCCCTGGGTTCTGCCTCATCCCTCTCCGTCCTCAGCTCCTGGAGGACTTCGGAAGCGCTGATACGACCCCATCCTCGGCTCAGAAACTCCCAATACTTCCACCACGAGGGCAGCGACCCCTGAACCACTCACTACCAGCGGGTTTTGCCTCATGGGAAAATGGGCCCTGTTTTAGGTTAACGATCTAGTTGGGTGACATTTCCCAACTTTACAAGCTGACGACAAATTCAAGGTTTTTGGTGCTTGTGTTTTCAATACCACCAGCAGTCCGCCCTCCACGTGAGTGCGCCCGGCTCCCCCGGTCGCTCCTCTCTTCCCAGCCTCGGCTCCACCTTCGCCCGCTTCCTCCAAGGAGCCCACCTGCCCGCCCCGGGCCTCACCGGTCCTTGGCGCAGCTCAGTTCCTCCAGGGCGGCGCGGAGCTGCTGGTCGTGACGGGCCAGGCGCTCGGCTTGGGCGCGCACGGTACCCTCCGCCGCGTCCAGCCGCGCCTCCAGCTCCGCCGCCCGCCGGTGCACGGCCGCCAGGTGCGCGTTCGCCTCGCGGATCTGCAGGGGCGGCGGCGCGGACATGGCCCCGGCCGCGGCCCAGGCCCGGCCACGCCCCCTGGCGGCCCGGAACCGGCCCGGCCACGCCCCCTGGGTGGCCACGCCCCCTGGGAGAGGTCTGGGTCACGCCCTCCTAGAACCCAAACGCCCTCACTGGGTCCAGCACCTCAAAGCCCCGCCCCCGAGCCCGTCCTAACGCCACGATTAGCTAGTTTTGACAGGCCACGCCCCCGGATGGCCACGCCCCCGGCTGGACGCGTCCTCGGCGGCACGCCCCGCTTAGGCGCGCGCTGGCGAAGGGATTGGCCACGCCTTCGCGACAAGTCCCGCCCCACGCAGAACCTAACGCCAGGATTGGTCCGAATCCCGGCCCAAACGGCCTGACCACGCCCCCGGAACTGCCCGCACAGCGCTCGGATCCACTGAGCGGGCCACGCCGCGCCCCGAGGCTACGGGCAACTCCGAATTGGTCAAATCTCAGCCATGCCTCTGGCCACGCCCCAAAATAGTGGCACGCGAGTCCACCCCGACGCGGGGGCCGCTCCGGGCGCGACCACGCCCCTCGCAGGCACGGGCGCGGGGGGGGGCCGCGCTGCACCCCCCACGCCGCGTAATCACGTCCCTGGGCAGAGGCCCCGCGTGTGTCCGAGGCTCGCCCCTAAATGAGGCCCCCGCTCCGGTGGTCACGCCATCCCCAATCTAGGCTGGAGTGAGCGAGATACGCCGCGCTGGTGACTTCCCCAGTCAGAAACACGCCGGGGCTCGCGCTCGGCCCTGACGCCAGGCCCCATCCCGGCGCGTGCGCACAACGCGTGTCCGTGTCCGCGGCGCTCAATAAAGTTGGGCGCTTGTTGCCGGCTGGGCGCAAGGGAGGCTGCGCGCTCCGCCCGCAGAAGTCTCGCGAGAGCGAGTGGCCGCTGCCCTTGGTGCGGGGACCCCGCGGGTGCTCTGTGGGGCCGGGGCGCGCGGCCATGGCGCAGACGCTCCTTCGGCGGTATGGCGACATCCCCGACGGCACCGAGTGCCACCGCAAGACCTACGCCAGCACCAGCATCGGCGGTGCTGTAGGTGAGCGCCCGCCGGGCCCGAGGGCGGAGGGAGGTCAGAGGGTCAGCGAGGGCCTGGGCCGGCGTCCGGGAGCGTCTGGGCTGCGAGGGCGCCCGGCTGGGGCCGCGGGTGGCGGGGCCGGGAACCTCGCGGGGCGGCCTCTGGCAACCGCAGGGGTGTCTGGCGGCCCCAGGGCGCTGGGGAGCTCTTGAATGAGAGAGGTTTTGTGGGGCTGTTGGGCCAATGCAGAGGGCGCTGGGATGCCGTGGGGTCTCCGGGAGCTGCCCGAGGGGGGCCGGGAATCTCGGGCTGGCGCACGGTCGTCGGGACGGCTCGGACAGTCGTGGGGAACTGCTCGAGATGAGTGTTCAGGGGGCCCAGCAGGTCTAGAGGGCACTGGGAGGTCGTGGTGCCTGTGACGCTGGTTACTGGGGTCGTGGAGAACTGCCCCTGGGTGCTGGGGTTTAGAAGTAGTTAGGTGATCGCCAGGCTCTGGGGTCAGAGGAGCTTGGAGGGAGCATGAGACTTCCCCCACGGGGTAACTTTGAGATTTTGGGGGCTCATGGGTTATTGAGTAACTGAGTCGGCCTTTCTCGAGTCCAGGAGAGCTGGATGCTATGGGACATCGAGATTTTAATGGGGTCTCCAGGGGGCTGGTAGGGGCACTGAGGCGATCATAGGTGAGGCAGGTCAGGAGCTACTAGGAGGGTACTTGGGAGGGTTACACCAGGGTATCCACAACCCTGGCATTCCCTGCAGGGGTGACACCAGAGTCACTCTTTACAGTCTCTGTTGTCACTCTCCCTGAAACAAGGTGTGTTGGCTTTGGCCACCTCGGTATCTCCAGCTCCTGAAACAGGGCCTGGCTGAAGTTGAGTCTCCCCCAGGAGGCATTTGAATTAAGGCAGACCTAATAATTTGAATTAAGGCAGATCTAATAATCACTGCCATTTTCTATTTGCGTATGTAGTAAGGTCAACCTTTATTGTATCCATTTCTCAGAGGTGGAAACTGAAGGACAAGAGATGTATTAACTGCTCTGGGGTCTTTTGGAGCCGAGCTGCATATCCAGGTCTGCTAATCTGCTCTTGGGGGTTGTCGGGGTCATGAATAAGCATACAGAGACCTGGGGAGGAGGGTCGTCTTAGAAGAAAGGGCTGAAATGGATGTGGGGGGTTATGTGGAATCTGTTTGAATTCTGAGTTGTTGGAACAGCCCAGGGTGTGTGCTGGGGCCTCAAGGGGGCACTTAACCTGGGAGTGCTGGGCAGGGAGGTAGGGGGGGTCACAGTAGAGGAAAATCCGTTCTGGCAGATTATTTCCTGGAGAGACTGGCAATTAGGGGTGCCTGATAGAATTTTATGGAGGGTCATGCTTGTGTTTCTAGGTAAACTGAAACAGAAAAGGGTCGCCTGAGGGGTGTTCGGTGCCTTCAGCAAGATTTGGAAAAGTGACTGGGTTAGGAAATTTGGAAACTAAGAAAAAATTAGCTTTGCTGTTTGTGAGCGAAAGTGTGTGTGTGTGCTCACAAATGCACACATGGTACGGGTGGACTGAGGTCTCGGGGGCTCTTGGGGGAGACTGAGCATGCCCCAGGGGTGTGGTGCTACCATGTGAGTGAGGAATCTCCCTTCTTCCCCCTCCTTCATTCCCTGCCAGTCCTCAGCCCTCACCTGGGACAGTGTTCACATCTGCCTTCCCTGAGATGGTGAGCCCCTGGAGAGCAGGGAGGCCTTATTCCCAGCAGAGCCCAACCCCTGTGGGCACACGGTGTGCAAATGAATGAACAAATGGGTGAATGAATGAAGGCACACCATAACTATTTGTGAATGAATTACTGAATCTGACACACAGTTCCTATGAATGAATGAATGGAGCGAATCAGAGCACTTGGTACCCGGATAAATGGAGTGTACAGTGACTGTGAAGGATGAGTGAGTGACAGTACTCCTAACTGAATGAATAAATGAGGGGTACAGGGGGCCTCCCTGGTGGCACAAGGGGTTAAGTCGCAGCACTATGAAGCAGTCCACAGACACTGCAACACAAGTTCGATCCCCCGCCAGGGAGGTGACCCACATGGCGCAGCAGACCTCTCCTGTCTCACCCGCTGCTCCCCTCAGCAGTGTATTTCGTCAGTCTGCCTGTTCTGTTCCCCGCTCTGTCTCTGGTGAATCCTCTCACCCCCTGGCTTACACCCCACTTCTTGTATGCATAAATAAATAAACTCCATAACTGAATGAGTGAGGGTTCCCAGTTACTATGAATGAAAGAACAAATGAGGGGCCTCCCTGGTGGCGCAGTGGGTTGAACACAGCTCTGTGAAGCTGTCCGCAGCCTCTGCAGCGCAGGTTCAATTCCCAGCTGGCCAGGGAGATGCCCACATGGCGAGGCAGACCTCTCCTGTCTCGCCTGCTGCTCCCCTCAGCAGTGCTTTTGGTCCTTCTGCCTGTTCTGCTCCCCACTCTGTCTCTGGTGAATCCTCCCACCCTCCTGCGCCTCTGGCCTGTACCCCAGCTATTGTATAAAAACAAATAAAATAAAATGTTAAAAAGAAAAAAGAAATGAGGATATGCAGTAACTGAATTATGAATGAGGGTAGTCAGCAATGAATGAATGGTTGAGGGCCCACGGTAACTGCGTGATGAGTGAAGGTATGTGCCGTGTATCGTCTGTGTGTGCTGTGATGAATGTGTGAACAAAGATGCACTGTGCCTGGAGGTGTCTGCAGGACATGAACAGAGAGCCAGCGGCAGGTGGAGGGGGTGGGGGATGCCTAGGACAAAGTCTGTGTCAACAGAGGTCCAGGTGCTGGGGAGGCTGCTGAAGGGGGAGCGTGGCAACTGACCGCCTTCCAGCACTGCTGGGGGGAGTTAGGGTGGGGCAGTCCTTGCCTCTGGGGTGGTGTGGGGGCACCTGGCTCACTGCTCCCAGTACAAGGACTCCTGAAGGGATTGAATCGTGTCAGTGCTTCCCTTTCAGGGGGAGAGAGAGAGTGTGTGTGCGCAGCATGCACATGCTTGGGGCAGCGGACTGTGGGGTTAGGAGAAATAAGATCTGAAAAGTCACAGGCCAGCACCTTGCACACAGGATCCCTGTTAAAATGTATGCCTCTTGGGCCTCCCTGGTGGCGCAGCGGTTGAGCGCTGGGTTGTGAAGCTGCCCGCAGCCTCTGTGGCGCCGGTTCGATCCCCGGCTGCTCCCCGGCCACCGGAGGAGGGTCCCGCATGGCGCGCAGACCTCTCCTGCCGCCCGCTGCTCCTCTCAGCAGTGTACTTCGGCTCTGCCGGCTCTGCTCCCCGCTCTGGCTCTGGTGAATTCTCTCACCCTCCCGCGCTTCTGACTGTACCCAGTGCTTGTATAAATAAATAAATCTTTAAAAAAAAAAGTATGCCTCTTTACCCCTTATCCCTGTACCTCAGTTTCCCTACCTTTGAACTGGGCCGGCAGTCTTTTCCCTCCTCCACTTGCTACGAAGGTTAACTGCTCAGCCGGGAACGTCACGTGGGCGTCCATGTGGCAAGCAGACGTGGGAACAGAGCACAGCCTGGGTCAGGCCCACCTGGCTTCCAGGCTGCTCTGCCATGACAACAGGCAAGTCACTCTGCCTGTCCAAGGCCCCTCACCTGGGAAGTGATGGGCACAGGGGGCTGAGCCTCTCAGTCGCTGAGGAGGGAGAGTGGGGTGGGGACTGCCCCTGTTACTGCCAGATGGCTGTTCTGTTTCTGGGGTGGGCTGACCACAGGATGTCCCGCCCCAGCAACACTGGGGGGTCAGTTTTCTGCCTGAGCAGGGTCAAGTGCAGGATGGATGGAGGCCCATATTGATTGTTCTGGTGATGGGGTGCCAGCTAGGTGAGCCTTGGCCAGCCTGTCCACTGCGGAAGGAGGAGGCTGGTCAGACCCTGCCCCGGCCCTTGCCCAGGTTAATGTTGATTCAGGAAGCCCCAGGAACAAACCCAATCCCTGGCCGTCAACGCAGCGCTGAGCCCTGGGCCCAGCCCCTTCCTGGCCTTTCATACATAAAAGCCAGCGTCAGGGCCGGGGCAGCAGGAGTGACAGCAGAGATGGAAAAGCTGACCTGGGTGTTGAGGCCGAGCGGACGTGGGTGGCCGCCAAGCCAGCCAGGTGTGAGGGATGGGCCCAGGCCCGAGCTGCCGGTAGGAAGGGGGCCCAGGAGTGGTGAGGAGGAGGCGCCGGCAGCCCCAGGAGCCAAACCTGTGCCAAGGAGGATTAGGCTGAGGAGCCCCAGGCCCCACAGGAGAATGGAACCTTTGATGGGAGTGGGGCCCGGTTGCCAGAACTGTGGGGGTGCAGTTGTGCACTCGAGGCCCCGTCCTGTCCTTGTGTCCACTGAAGGGCAGCAAGAGCAAAGCGGACCGGGCGGCATTTGGCAGGAGCTGGCTTTCCTCGGGTCTGGAGGGTGGGAGGCCTAGCCGGGGGCGAAGTCCAGGGTGAGAGCCCAGGTTCTGCAGCAGCAGACATAGGTTTGAATCCCAGGTTGGCTTCTCAGCAGCTGTAGGGCCCAGGGTGCTGCATCGTGGGCAGAAGGGGGCCTGGGAGCCACGTGGCACAAAAGGGGCAGAGGGTTTATGGGATGGTGAAGGAACCTCTCCCCAGCACCAGGGTGGGGTCTGACCGGCCCTGCCCTCTCTTCCCACAGGCCTGATCGTCTCTGCCTACAGTGTCGCACTCAAGACCCCAGATTCCTTCCTGGAGGGAGTGGCGAGGACGGGGCGGTACACATTCACTGCAGGTGAGCCAGCCGGGTGGCATCTGGGCATCTCTTTAGAGGACCCTCCTGCCACTGACCTGACCGTCATGCTTTGCTGTGTCCCTGTTACTTCCCTAGCTCCTGGAGCACACTCTGTGGCCACTCCCACTCCCTCAGCCCCTGGCAGTGGCCAAAGTCTGAGCCAGCAGTAGGAACATGTACGGGCCTCCTCCATCGGGGTATAGGCAGGGGGTGGGCAGGATGCCGCGGTGGGCAGCTCCCAGCTGACCAGCAGTGTGTCCCCATCCGTACCAGCCCTTCTGCCTCCTGACCACATGCCGTGAGCCCTCCGCGGGCACCTGCTGTGAGCCCCTGTGTGACTCCATTGGCCCCTGATAAAGCACCTGCCCTCCCCATCTCTCCCTGCAGCTGCCATCGGTGCCATATTTGGCCTCACCTCCTGCGTCAGCGCCAAGGTCCGCCAGAAGCCCGACGACCCCTTGAACTACTTCCTTGGAGGCTGTGCTGGGGGTCTGACCCTGGGAGTGCGCAGTGAGTGAGCCCCTAGCCCGACCTCTGCCCACCCTCCTCCCTCTGCTCCATCGCCCGAGTGCCCAGATGTGCAGAACATTCACCCAGCGGAGGGGCAGAGCAGTCCCTCCAGAGGCTCCCAGGTCTCTGAACTTTGGCTGTTCCTGTTAGTAATAGGAACAGCCCCTGCTGCGTAGGCCCACCCTCCCGTGCGCCCCAGCTCTCCGCAGCCTCGCCTCTCACTCTGCTCCATCCACACCGTCCTCCTGCTGTTCCAGTACAGCAGACATGTTCTGCTCAGGACTTTTGTATGTGCTGTTCTCTCTGCCTGGATGCCCTTCCCCCAGATGTCAACTCAGCCACCTCTCTGTCCTCATCCCCCTGTGTGCGATTTAGTTCCCCTGCTGCCCTCACTTCTTATGCCCCCCACCTTTGTTTGCCATGCCTTGACAGAGAACACGTGGTCACTGCTTGTGTCTCTGTGCCTGTGAGCAGAGAAGGTGGTGCTGGACCTCCTAGCGCACAGAGCCCTGCAGGGGAACTGCTCACTACCCCCTACCCTTTATAGGTTGGGCAGCTAAGGCCCAGAGAGGGGGCTTAGGTGGCTTAAGGTAACCCGGATGCTTCCCTGTGGAGACAAGGCTGGGTCCCAGGCCAGCCTGACACAGTAGAGCCCCCCCTGCACCCTTCCCATCTTCCCTTACTAGCTTCCCCTCCCCAAACCCTGACCGGCCAGTACTTGTGCCCAAGAAACTAGCTTCCTGGTAGCTGGCAGCCTTAAGAAGGCCAGTTGTACAAATGAACCACTCTGGCCTGGCCAGCAGTGCTGGTTGGAAGCTTCCAGCTAGGCAGGGAGGGAGGGCAGGCGATGGAGGCCTCTGCCATCATGACCTTGGTATCAAGAGAGTGGGCAAAACCCTGCCCTGCTGAGCCTGTGGGCCTTGTTGGAGGCCCAGGGAGGTTCAGGTTTGACAGGTGCCCTCCAGCCTGCCAGCAAGCAGACCCCTTCCTCCCCTGGGGCAGCCTTCAGCGGGGACTTGCCTTCTTCCTCATCCCTACAGCTCTGGAGTTATAGAGCCTGCCCCAGCAAGGGCATTTTGCCCTCCTCAGCATAGGCACCATCGGCAGATGCGGGTCTTGGTGCCTATGGCAAGGTACCTCTGGGTGTCCTTTCTTTATGCTTCCCTCTTCCCCCACACCTGTCCCTTGGCCCAGCCTGCTGGATGCCTGCCTCCCTGTCTGCCTCCATTTCCACAACTTCAGAGTCTGTCTTCCCACTTGTGAGTCTGGTGGAAGGGCCAGAGACTTAATCCCCGAGAAGAATATGGTCCCAGCCTTGCAGGTGGGGCATCCTTTGAGGTCACAGTTTAGCTCCTGGAAAAGGCCTCTTGAGTGTCTGATGCCTCCCTCCCTACTCTCACAGCTCACAGCTACGGGATCGGAGCCACTGCCTGTGCGTGCATGGGCACGACGGCTGCCCTGGTCAAGATGGGCCAGCTGGAGGGCTGGAAGGTGTTTGCAGAGCCGAAGGTGTGAACCCCATGCCCCCAGGGCCTCCAGCAGGCCGAAATGCATCTGAAAATAAATCCTGTGTATATGTGTATGTTTCCCCTTCTCCACTGTTCTTGGGGTACAGGAAGCTGGATGATGGGGACGGGCCAGCGCAGGTGAGGGAGGCCCGAGGTGGATCTGGTAGAGAGGAAGGAAGGAAGCAGGAGATAAGGTTTGGTGCCGACAGGCCAGTGGCACCATCTGGGTGCCATAGAAAGAGGCATCAGGCAGGGGCCAGAGAATGCTGGTTACCAGGCCCCTTGGCGGCCGGAGCCTCCTGGGAGTGGCCAGCCAGCCAGTTGGAGCTGGGCCCCACTGCCCTCAAGCCCCCCTGCAGGTTTCAGACCATCCCTCCCTGGGCCTCCCCCCAAAGCCAACAGCATGTGGAAAACATGCCCAAGCCCTGTGCACAGCCCAGCTCCAAATTCCTGGGCACTGGAGCGGAGAGGCCCAGTCGACCTAGCCCAGGAGCCTGGTCCCCATCTGGCAGGTGGGTGACGGGTCACCAGGAGCCCGCAGGGCAGGGTCTGAGGGAGGCAGGGGTCCTGCGGCTTCGACAAGAAGAGAGACTCGTGATCCTCACCCGCCGCCACCTGTCAGGCCCAGTGATTTAGGTGGCCCTGGAATGCTGGCGCGGCCCAGGCCCCCAGGCTTTCTGCGGAACTGGCTCGGTGCTTCCTGGCAGCCGCAAAGAAAAGCCTGACTTGCTCCAACATGCTGCAATGGGCCATAAATTAGGGCTCTCCGGCCCCACCCTGGGGAGCAGGGTCGTGCCTGGCCAGGCAGGCAGATCCTGGTGGGCTCCGGGGGTAACAGGAGCCAGCGAGGTTGATCTTGCGCTCCTGCCCCCCCTCACCTGTGTCCAGCGCCCCTGTCCCGGTCTCCTCTCCAGTCTGTCCATGGGGCCTAGACGGGGTTGAAAGCCAAACCTGGAGCCTTGCTTTCCTCTTCTGTCCACCCCAGCTGGGTGTTGAGCGGCTAGAATTAAAACATAGAGTGCAGCGCCTGGGCCTGGCTGTCCGCGGGCGGGCCCTGCCCCTGCCCCCGCTGTTCTCCTGTGTCCTGTGCAGCTGCAGGCAGGGCTCCTCCGGGCCTGGGGTCCCTCCACCTCCCTGCCGGCCACCGCGAGCCTCCCTGCGCTGACATGGAGCCCTGCCTAGGGCGCCCCCCGGTGGCTGCGGGCATCCATGTGTACTCTGGGCCAGGAGACCAAGCGCAGCTCTGCATCACAGCACCCTGACTTCGGGTCCTTGCCTCGCAGCAAGCGAGCGCCCCCCAGCCTGTGGGCCAGAGGGGAGGGGTGCCAGGCAGCTTAGGAGCCCGGCACTTGTCGCTCCTGGCTCTGACCTTGGCTTTCCGTGCCAGCAAGTGGGGATAATCGGCTCACTCTCAGAGATGGTCCATGAAGAGGGCAGAAACCAGGAAGCACCCCTTCCACCACCCTCGGGGTGGCCTGGCCTGTCCCTGCAGTGGCCAGCAGGGGGCATAGCTTACCAAGGTCCCCAGCCTCAGTTCCCCTGCCCTGTGGCCACTGCTGAAGAGCCAGGTCGCCTCCCTCTCCTGGCCATGCCCTCTCCATCCTTCCTTCCGTGCTGCCCGTGGCGGCTGGGGGAGTGGAGGCACAAACGAAACTGGATCCATTGCTGTAAGAGGGGCCTGAGACCAGCGGGGGTGGGGAAGGGGCTGGTTCAAGGTCACCTCTCAACCTTGTACTCCAGTGGCTTCCAGAACCAGACCCTCTGGGGCCTTCTCTCCTGCAAACCTCTCCTCGGAACACCACCTCTTGGTGCCATGAAGATCAAACCCCGACTGGATCTTGTGGCCCATGGAAGGGGGAAGGAAACTTGAGCGGTAGTTCCCTTCCAACTTCCCAGCCTCAGTTTCCCTGTTAGATGGCTCAGATCTGTGGCTGTGCTTTCAACCCACCCACTCCTTTGGGCTGGCTGCCAGTGTTGGAGTGGGCCTGGCAGGTCCCCCAGAATGCGGCAGGTGGAAGTGGCTACCCACTGGCCTCCAGGGAGCCCCAAAAGCCAGGGCCCCTACCCATAAACATTTACTAGGCAGGGAGGGACTGACATCATTCCCACCACACATGCAGTCCCTGTGGGAACAACCTCTGTGCAGAGGGCCAGTACCCCACCTTCTGCCCAGAACCTCACTTCCTACCCAGGCAGCTCCCTCGTGGGCCTTTACAAAGACCTTCTCAATCCTGAGCAGTTGGCTTGGAACAGAGGAAGGGGCAGGGGCTTTCAGGAGGGCTTCCTGGAGGGGGTGGTAAAGGACAGAAGTGGGCTTTCCAGAGGTGCAGGAGGGAGATGTGCGTGTTGGTCAGAGAAAACGGCAAGAGCAAAGGCCTGGGGGGTGGGGGAGCACAGCAGGTGAGCGACACCTCACCTTCCTGACGGGGTGCCCTCTGTGGGCAGTGGGGCACGAAGCCCCTAGGGTGCCAATCCTGGAGTGACATTTCCCAGTGAGGACAAGACTGCTGGGTCTGACCCAACCCTCTGGGCGCAGCCAGGTATCTCAGCTCTTCTGAGCCAAGAAACATCAGTGACCCAGATAACCACCCGGCCTGTCCCACCTGCCAGGAAGACCCGGCACTGCAGATGCTGCTGTTTTGTCGGCTCTCGTGGCACTCACAGCAGCCCTGAGCGAGCTGTTCACTTCAGTCTTGCCTCACAGAAGGGAAACAGGCCTGAGAGGCCAGTCTGCGCCAGGCTCCCAGCAGGCGTCGGGGTGGCCGTTGGCTGTTGTTGAGAAGCAACGTGTAAATTGTCTCTGAAGGCCTTTCCAAGGGGTCGTGGTGATTGGAACCAAAGCACCCCGATTGGGAGGGGGGTGGTCAAGTGATCTCGACAGCAAAACGATACCCCCGCAAATTCCTTTTAGAAGGTGCACTGGATGTGGTTGGGAGTGCCTGCTGACGCGCTGGGGCTGGAGAGGTTGTTGAGGAAGCCCTGTGGGGCCGGCCTTCGCGCTGTCAGCAGGAGGAACTGGCCTCACGTCACATGGCTAAGACCCGTCTTCAGAATCTGCCCAGCTCTGCCGCCTCACCCGCCATGGCCCCAAGCGGGGCTTGGCCCCGTCATCACCCACCTGGACCAGCATAGTCCAAACCTGCCTGGTCCCCAGCTCCCATCCCTAGTCCCCCACAGGTTGTCCGTGTAGCAGCCAAAGGGGCCCTCTGAGCACCGAATTAGACCCCATCCCTCCTCTGCCATGGCCCTCTGGGGGCCATGCCTTCCTCATGGTAAAAACCTAAGGAGTCCTCACCCCCCCAAGGCCCCGCATGTGCTGCCCCAGCCCCTCCTTGCTCTCACATCTCCCCTCTCTGCCCTGCTCATTGTGCTCCAGCCTCCCAGGCGCCTGGCTCTTCCTCCAGCGGTCCTGTCCCAGGGCCTTTGCACAGGCTGTGCCCGCGGCCTCATTCCCCAGATGGCTCAACTGCCTCGCCTCCTTCAGTCCTCAGCTCAAGTGTCACCTCTTCATTGAGCCTCCCTCATGTCCTATTGAAAGGGCGTCCCACCCGGTCTGCGGCGCCCCACATGCCCTGTACGCTTCGATTTCTGCCCATCACATCAAAAGTTTGTAGAGCCATGGCATGAGGGCGGCGTGTGTCCTGGTCAGCAGCAAGGTTCCTTAAGGCTGTGGCCAAGTTCCGTCTCCCGAGTGCCGGTTCTGGGTGGGGCCCCACGCCACCCCCATAGAATGTGGCTGCAGTTGAGTGGTGGGGCACAGAGGAGGGACACCTGCCACTCCCGAGGGTTTCCCAGTCAAAACTAACTTCACTTAACACCTGTTTCCTGAGCACAACGCGTGCCAGGCACCGTCTCAGGCCTGGGGCCGTGGCGAGCTCTAGCCCCGAGTGAGAGTGAAACAGCGCAAGGCAAGGGAACAAGTGAGTGACAGAGGGGTTTACACGGGATGTGCTGAGGAGATAAACAAAGGTGACGTGAAAGGGGGGTGTCTCTTTAGCTGGGGCAGTCGGGGGGACCAGAAGAAACCAGCCTTGGGGTACTATGAAGGAAGGGTGTTCCAGGCAGAGGGAACAGAGGCTACAAAAACCCAGAGGCTGCGGTGAGCCCGCGCTCCCTCCATTGTAGTCGGGACCGCATGGGGGCCGCGGTGAGCCCGCGCACCTCCCACATTTCCCAGGGGGACACAGCAGGTCAGGGGAGGACTTGCTGCTAAGGTGGGTGCTGACTCGGGCACCATGAAACCCAACTTGCTCCCTCTGTAGTGGGGCCTCCTGGTGGTAAGCGTTCTCCTCGTCCTGGCAAAGACCCCTGGAGCAGCACCAGCTCCCCTGCGCACCCCCAAAAGAACTGCTCCAGAAGGACCCCTGGGCCATGATCCTATCACTGTGCTCCCCGGGTTCTCATCATAGGGTGGGGGAATAAGCAAGGAGTAGACGGGAGAGTGGACCAGGCGTCTGTTAGGTTCTGGTGGGGAACCCAGACCCTCCCTTGTCATCCCACTCAATCCCGATGCCAGGTTGGTCATTTCAGGGGGCTGCAAGTGGGGAGCCCAGCTTTGCCCCCTTTAACCCCGTCTAGTTTTACATCTAGGGCTCAGAATGTAGCAGAGACCCCAGTTCCCTGGATACAGGTTATCACAGGTATCCCCAGCCAGAGAGTGACTTTGCCTGTGGGGAAATCGAGGCATAGAGCGGCACATGGGCTCCCCAGGACCTCTGGTATCACCCCTCCAGTCTCCCTCTTTTGATCCTGCTCCTCCTTGGAGTTGGGGTGCCAGAGAGGCCTGGCTCAGCCCCAGCCCCACATTGGCGCTCACAAGCCTCCCCTGGCTTCCCGAAACCCTGGGTGGTCAGCCTCCGCGCTGAGGGGCTCGGTCAGGCCTGGCCCCAGTCCAGCCCACATCTCGGGGCCTCCAGGGACCCCCCCGGGCTCGGAACATGCGCTGAACCAGAGCAGGAAAGGTGTGAGCCAGGGCAAGGGCAGGGCTCCGGGGGCCAGCGGGAGAGCTGTCAACCCACGCAGAGGGCAACGCAGACCAGCGGCCGGCCCGGAACCCCCTCCTCCCCTCCAGTCTGTGTAACACTTGTGCTTTGCTCGTTTTTCCCCACAGCCACGTTTCCAAATAAATGTTACAATAGGTAAAGCAGACTCGGGCGGCCTCCTTTTAAGTATACCAAGGACACTGAGGAAAAAGTATCAGCCACCGCCTTCCTCTGCCACCTCCGCCCAACTCCCTCCCCGAGGCTGCCAGCCTGGTTTCTTGTTTCTCCTTCCGGCCACGCTCCCTGCGGAAACAGACTCGCCCGATGTTTTCTTCCCCCACGAGAGCGGCACCCCACCGTCCCTGCTGTTCCCCAGGCCTGGTCTGGCTCCCCCGTCACACATCTCGGATCTCTCCCTGTGAAGAAGTGCTTCCGGCTTTTTAACACCCGTGTAATATTTCATCCCGAGGTGGAGCTGTCGCCCCCGTGAAACCACCCTTCCCTCTCCCCAGCTTCTCGCTACCACGCGTTCCCTTGCGCAGTCACCACAGGCCGCTCGCGCAACAGCGGTCCGCAGGCCGCTCCGGAACCAGGTGTGCACGTGAACCGTGTGATCACACCTCCCGACGTTCACGCAATGACAGAATCACCCGGCGACATGCCCCCGTCATTAAGTGACGCGTGAGTGTCGTACCATTGAGAATTTGCTACAAATGTCACTTTACCTGTGGGTGAATATGCCCACAGCCTTCCCGGGAGTTTTTTTTTTTTTTTTTAAAGATTTATTTATTTATTTTTTAAAGATGGATTTATTTATGCATACAGGCCAGAGGTGTGGGGGTGAGAGGATTCACCAGACACAGAGTGGGGAACAGAACAGGCAGACTGACTGAATACACTGCTGAGGGGAGCAGCGGGCGAATCAGGAGTCAGCTGCGTCATGGGGGTAGTAGCTCCCTGGCTGGCCGGGGATCGAACTTGTGCTGCAGAGGCTGCGGATTGCTTCATAGGCTGTGTCTTAACCCTTGTGTCACCAGGGAGGCCCCCGGAAGTTTCTTAATTAATCAACTTTTTGGAGCAGTTTTAGGTTTAAGGGAAAATTGAGCAGAGAGTGGGGAGTTCCCACGGACCCCCTTCCACCCCCTCAGTAACACCTCGCATTAGTTTGCACGACTGTCAGAGCTGGTGAGCCAGTGTTGGGACGCGGTTATAAACTCACATCCGTAGGGCGTGTCAGGGCCGGTCTTAGTGTCGTGTGTTCTCTGGATCGTGAGCTGGACAGTGACCTGTGTCCACCCTTGTTGCCGCATGTACAGAACAGCCCCCCTGCCCGAAAGACGCCCCGAGCTGTGCGTGTTCATTCTCCCGATCCCTGGTGACCACTGGAGTTTTTCCTGTCTCCATAGTTTCACCTTTTCCAGAATGTCACGGGGTTGGAAGCATACAGTAGGAACCTTCTCAACTGGCTTCTTGCACTTCATAAAATACGCATTTGTGTTTCTCCATGTCTTGTAGTGACTTCATGGATCATTTCCTTTTAGCATCAAATAACATTCCTTTGTCTGTGGGGACCAGTTTATCTGTTGACCTGCTGAAGGACATTTTGGTGATTCCAGTTTGGACAGTTCTGTGTCAGGCTGCTAGTTTGTGTGTGGCTGGACTTGGGTAAACGCCACAGAGCTGTTGCTGGATCCTGTGATCAGGGTAGGTTAGTTTTGTAGGAAACTGGCAAACTTTCTTCCCCAGTGGCTGGGTCCCTTTTTGCTTATTGGTTTTTTTTTTTTTTCCTTTTTGAGAATTTAATAAAATAATAAAAATATGTGACGTATGTAGCATAATATCTGGACCACAAATGAAGCTTAATAAATGTGATTATTGCTTTAAAACTCAACTCGGGCCTCCCCGTTGGCGCAGCGGTTGAGCGCTGGGTTGCGAGGCTGCCCGCGGCCTCTGCGGCGCCGGTTCGATCCCCGGCTGCTCCCCGGCCACCGGAGGAGGGTCCCACATGGCGTGCAGACCTCTCCTGCCGCCCGCTGCTCCCCTCAGCAGTGTACTTCGGTCCTTCTGCCTGCTCTGCTCCCCGCTCTGGCTCTGGTGAATTCTCTCACCCTCCCGCGCTTCTGACTGTACCCAGTGCATGTATAAACAAAACAAACAAACAAACAAACCAGCAAACAAATAAATAAAGCATGCCTCTAAAAAAAAAAAAAAAACTCAACTCATAAATGAGTTACTTTGTAAAAACTATTGAGCTGTTTAGATGAGAAATTATAAGGTATTAAAAAAAAAAAAACACGGAGGCAGAAGCACAATGGTAAAAGTCTCAGAATATTTATGTCATCGAGTTGATCAGTCTAACCAGGTGGAGTGGTGAGTGACAACACCCGGCTAGTCGCTGTGACAAAATGAGCAGTGACAAATTAATTCATGGATCATGGATTTCCTGAGCATGCAAGAGGGTGCCGTGCCAGGTAATACCGGCTTTTGGAAGTGGAAATTAGACCTGCTGACAAGGATGCCAGGAATATGCCCTCCCTGAGAGAGAACCACACCTGGAAGCTGAGCCTGAAAGTGGGGTACAAGTGAAATGATGCAGGGGGTGCTGAGGAACAGGCCTCTTTCCCTAACGAAAGAGCAAGAATTTTCATGTAAGGAGATGACATTGTCCACGTTGTATTCGTAAGCGCAGTGAGAGAAAGTTCCTGTTGCCCCACATGTCCCCAGCATTTGGGGTTCCAGATGTGGGCCATTCTAAGAGGTGCGTAGTGATAGTTCATTATGGCTTTAATGTCCTTAAATGTTTAAATAAACATCCCTGCTTCTGGCCGCCAAGCATGTTTCCAGCATCTCCTACAGTGTGATTTCTTTGCAATTCAGGCTTGCAAGCATGTGCTTGTCCCCCATTTTATAGATGGGATAACCAGGGCTCAGAGAGGGTTTGCTACTTCCCCGGCGTCACAAAGCAAATGGGGGTGGAGCCAGGACACTGATTCCAAGGCACTTCCTCCTACTGAGTTCCAGGTCCTATGCTGGACTCTGGGGACACAGTGGTGACCAAGAGAGACAGTCCACCCCCCCAAGGCCCGAAGAGCAGCAGTGGACAGACATATGACCTGGCAGTTACCACTCAGGCAGGGCTGTCATGAGGTGGCACAGGCAGAGGAGGACCCAGAGGAGGCACCTGTCCCAGTCTGGGGCCCAGGGAGGCTTCCTGGAGAAGGGGGTACCAAAGCATTCTTAGCAGATTTCCAGGAATGGAGGATAAGAGTGGCCAGGCAAGAGGAACAGCCTGGATGAAGGCTCAGAGGTGAGACAGGAAGGGCCGGGGCCCAGAACTCAGGCTCTGACATGGGAGGGTCCTGGGTTCCCTTCCCAACTCTGCCATCGGTCTCCAGCTACTCTCGCTCTGAGCCTCCGTTTCCACTCCTCAGCACGTCTGGGAGGATTTAGTAAACTCCCCTGAGTAACACACGCCACCGAGGCTGGCACATGGGGAGCCAGAGGGTGGCTGAGCTGCCAAGGTGCCAGAACGGGGGGCGCGGGGGGAGGCGGAGACCTGGTAAAGGCATCCAGAGATGCGAGGTTTCCAGACGCGGCATGAGAGGCCGCGGTGTGGGTGGGGGGTCTCCTCCAGGGCCTGCCCTAAATTGGATACTTCCTGCCCGGGCCAGCGCCTTGGTGGGCTGAGCCCAGCTCCCCGCCGCAGCGCGCTGCTCTCTCACCCCCATTAGCGCGGCCACCTGCTGCAGGAGCCGCGGTCCTGGGCGTCCCCACCTGCGCTCGGCACCAGAGACCACCATTAAAAATGAGTAATGAGCCGCAGTGGGCAGGACCGAGAGGGGGAGGGGGAGAGACGGAGGCCCCCTCCCAGGCTTGCTCCTCACACCCTGCGCGTCCACAGTCACCTCGCCGGAGGCCATCCCGGCTCCTCTACGACTTGTTTAACCTCCTTCTCGCCTCCCTGCCCTCTCTGGGACCCCTAGCTAAGTCCAACATCATTTTTTAAAGATTTATTTTATTTATGCATACAAGAGCTGGGGGGCAGGCCAGAGGTGCAGGAGGAGGGGTGAGAGGATTCACCAGAGACAGAGTGGGGAGCAGAACAGGCGGATTGACTGAAGCACACTGCTGAGGGGAGCAGCGGGCGAGGCAGGAGAGGTCTGCTGCGCCATGGGGGTCACCTCCCTGGCTGGCCAGGGATCGAACTCATGCTGCGGAGGCTGGCAGTAGCTTGACAGTGCTGTCTTTAACCCCTGCGCCACCAGGGAGGCCTTAGTGAAGTCAAACTTAACTGCAGATGTTGTTAGCCGCCGCTCCCTGCCCCACCTGGATGGACAGCGGGCCTGGGTTGTCCGTCCGTGTCCCGGATGAATGCCCGAGCGCTGCGGGATAGACACCCACAGGATCCTGACCCCAGGGATGCCCGGGGCCTCCCGTCAGGTGTGCCCCCTCCTTAGGTGCCTCCTGGGGCTCCTGGGGGGCCAGGGATAGAAACCCAGGAGAGGTTGAGGCCACATCTATCTGCCACTGGCATTGGACAGATTTTAATTTGAACTGAAACTGACTCAGCAGAGGGCCCTGGGGAGAGGACAGGGAGGACCACGCGCCCACGTGGGGTCTCTGGTACCTCCCTTGGCTTTCAGGGGGCCTGAAGGTGAGACGGGGGTTCAGGGCATCCGAGCTCTGCTCCTGAGGAGGAGCAGATGAGCCAAGCGCTTTGGTCTCCTCACTTGCCACTAGGCCCAGCACAAGGGCGCTGGCCGTCAGGGTCGGTGAGAAGATCGAACGCCCGACATATTCGAGGAACCCAGCCTGGCACATAGTTAGCGCTCACTTCAGCGATGGCCGCCCTGCTCTCCCTCCCGGCCCCAAAGGGAGGGACTGAGCGGGAATCGAAGGCTAATTTTAGCCCTGATGACACCCCCTGGCCGCCTGCCTTGTCCAAACATCCTCAGCCAAGCATGAGGTTCAAAGCATCCCCCACCCCCCAACCTCTGACATCCAAGGAGCCTGTTTATTCATTCCTGTCGGCCCGGAGCATTCCTCGCCTGCCTGCGCCTGCCGCCCGCCTCGTCCCCAGCAGCCTGGCCCACCCCGGGTCACCCAGAGTCAGGACCACCTTACCTGCAGGCCCCTCGGAGACTCCGTGGCCAGGAGCTGGCAGGGTGGGGGGCGGGGAGGGGAGGGGGGCCACTCCTACCCCAGAGTCCTCGTTTATAATCCTCCGAGGCAGACGCCACACTTCTGTGTGCGCTCGAGGATGCGCTCATCTATCCAGGGAGTTTACCGCGCGCCTGCGGGTACCAGGTCAGACTGGGCGGGGGGTGGGGTGGGGGGTGGTCCTGACACTACCCCGGGGAGACAGCGGCCAGCCAGAGAACAGACAGGACAGTTCTGAAAAGTGCTTGGTGCTGCCCATTCATTTGTTCACGCATCACTCACGCATCAGTTCGCCCGCCCGTGGGGCGCACAGCAAACCAGCCCGCCAAGGCCCTTCATGGGGCCGACTTCCCGGGGGGCAGACAGGGAAGACAGGAGGTGACGCGTGCTCATCAGCCCCGGGGTCTGGTGAAAGGGGAGCAGGCGTGTCCTCCTCGCTGAGGGTCCAGCCGTAGACGACGTAGATGACAGAGGCCCCGAAGGACTGCGCCCTGGAGCCCGGCCGCGAGAGGCCGGGTCCTCCCCCTGGGATGTTCGCACAGTGACGAAATCGCCCCATGGATGACACACTTCTCAGCTGGCGAGACGCGACTGCGGCTACTCTGGAGGGAAAGCAAGCGGGAGAGAGGTTGGGGGCGCTGGGCTGCAAGCTGAAGTGAAGTGGCTGGAGAAGCAGGGCTCTGAGGGAGGGAGGTGGGCCCCAGGGGAGGAGTGTTCCGGGCAGGGGGGGCAGCATGTGCAAAGGCCCCGGGTCTGAGCCGCGGGAGGAGGCGCACAGAGAGCAGCAGCAGGGCCTGTGGGCCTCCGTGCGGGCGCCGGCTTGGCCTCTGAGGTCAGTGGGAGCCGTGGCAGGGGCTGGAGCAGAAGGTGGGCAAGACGCGGCCTGAAATTCTCACATCCCCTCTCTCCATGTTCCGAGGTCAACCTCCAGCACGGTTACCCTTCAGGTTGAGGCCAGGGCCAGAGGCTGCAGCTGGGCTGGGGACCTGAGTGGCTGCAGGTGGGTTCCAATTATAAATGAGGACGTCCGGAACATTCTGAGAGCCTGGGGAGGGGAAAATTGCTTCCCTTCAGATAATGCCAGTGGGGACGGGGTGGGAGGGCCAAATTCTGGATGCGTCATCCGCACGTGGCATCTCCATTTGCTCCCTGCAGGGCCGGGCCCAGTGCCCAGGTCGCCGGCCTGACTGGCTCCATCTTTTGCCAGTGGAGGGACAGGTGTCTTCAAAAAGGCAAAAGCATCCTCCAAAACAAACCGACGGAGTCGAGGCCCTATTATTTCCTTGTCCCAACACATCTACAAACCATTTGCTTTCTTGCAAAACACCTTCCCTGGCTTTTCTAAATCTCAAACCACTACATGTGCACCCACAAAACCTTTCCAGGGTGAGAGAAAGGGCCCTTTGTTCCCCGGCCCCAAGCATTCCCTGGAATGTTCTGCAAACCCGGGCAGCAGCGCGGCAGCAACACACCTAAACACCGTTGTTGTTTTTTCACACAGGGTTTTGCAACAAGCTTTTTTCCACTCGACAATAGATGGTCCCACAGCTTTTATTTCCAGAAATCGGAAAATGAAGCGTGTCCAGCCCCCGCCTCCTCACCCACCACAGGCTGAAATTTAAGCCACATGAACCCGACTGGGCAGGGGTGCCGGGGCGGGCAGACCCCAACGTGCCAGGGGGCTGGGGTGAAGAAAGGCCGGGGGCGGGCAGCACAGGGATGCCAGGTTTCTGTCACCTTGCATTTCCCCCACTCCCTCCATGACGCTGGCAGGGAGAGGTTGCATTCTTCAAAGTGGTTCCGAGGGGAAACTGAGGCCCAGAGAGGGTTTCCAGCCCCAGCCCACAATTCCGCTGAGGAGAGAGGGTGTGCGGAGACCCTCAGGCATGGTGGGAGGGTACTCACGGTGTGCCTGCAGCGGCTGCATGCAGAAGAGATGACTGAGGCCCAGAGAGGCGACTTAACTCACCCAAGGTCACACAGCACCCAGCTGTTAGTGTCTGTTCCCCAAATCTCTTGCAGTCAAGAACTTTGGGGTCCAAGGAGGGTTCAGTTTCCATCCAGGCTCCACCACTTTGAGGCTGCAGGTGGATTCTGATGTTAAATGAGGACTCTTGGAACATTCCAGAACATTCTGGGATCAGGGGAAATGCTGTTCTCTGGAAAATGTCAAGGAAGACTATGTTTGGGGGGCAAATTCCAGTATTCTCTGTGTCTGTTCCCAATCTGAGCCCTCTGAGGCCTTCCGCTGAGGCCAGTCGGGAAGATAAAGGGAGTACCAGTGGGCGGGCGGGGTACCGGGGGTCTCTGCCAAGCCTGCTGGTGACCCCACAGGGCCCATCGCTCACCTAACACCCACACCACACACCTGGCGCCCCCTCCCCACCACCTGGCTGCTCGCCAGCGGTCCTGGGAGGCAGCTGGGGGCCCTCGGGAGGCCAGGCCAGGCCTCCTACAGGCCAGGGCAGGACTGGTCCCCAGGGTGGGAGAGCACAGGCTGCTCAGTCCCCCAACCTCTCTGGAGCCCCTTCATCCTGCCTCCACTGAACTGACAGCCTGAGGATTGAACATCCCACTCTTTCTGGAAGTTTCTCTGCAATTTGGAGGGAAATGGGACCCTCCATGGGCCCCTGCCTCGGGGAACAACACTGGGGGGAGCCAGGTTGTCCTCCATACTCCAGCCCGGTCCTCAAGCCTCTGCTGTCTTCTCACGCCACGCAAACCACAGGTTTCCTTTATTCCCCACCCAGCCCAGGCCAGGAGGGCCCCCCACCCTCCTCCTGAGCTGCCAGCCGCCCCTTGACTCCCAGCCCCAAGGCCTCGGGGGAATAAAATTTCCAGCAGTCTGGCCACGCCGTCACCCACCCACCCCAGGCCCAGGTACTGAGGGGGTCCAATGAAGGCTGAGACCCCGGCTGGGGCAGGGGTGACTGTGTGCTGGTCCCAGCTTGTCCCAAAGCCTGAGGGTGGGGTCCCCAGGGTCCTCTTCCAAGAAGGGAGGCCCCACCTGGCACTGACCCGATGAGTGTCCCCCAGAGAGGGCTAGGAAATACCTGGGGTCGCAGAGCAAATTCAGATTGACTAGCAGCTCCCTCTGGCTTGGACAGGGGTGGTTGGAAAAAACTCTGAACTCCAAAGGCTAGAGCTTGCTCCAGATGCACTTCCAAGGCCAGGAGGCCTGGGCTCAAATGCCAGCAAGCCCTGCCCCACCCGACTCCCGGGCTGGGTGAAGCAATACAGTGTAACAAAATGGTGGGCAGGGAGGCGGTTCCAGCCTGGGAAGCTGAGGGCTCGGTGGCAGCCTGGAGCGTGGGCCCTTTGAGAAGGGACACGTCAGTGATGGGCAGTGTCGGGGGAGGGGCACTGTGCCTGGTCTGCTTCTTACCCCTTCACCCACGTGGATTTCATCTGCAACCCTTGAGGAATGACAGGACCCACCGCGAGGGCCGTGGGTGGGCAGCATTGCAGTGATCGGGACCCCCTAACATTTCTCATGAGCCCCAGTCACCACATTCCCCTTCTCTGCCATTGGGCTCGGCCTGGCCACAGTCTCTGCCTACCATCCCCAAGGCAGTTGAGTCGTCCAGCCTCCCACTGTCCTGTGGGGCTAGCCGCGGCTCCGGCAGGGCTGGGGTGCTGGTGATTGGAAAGTCCCCATCAGCCGCCGAGGCCTGGTTGCTGCTGCCTCAGCCCATACCCCACCTGTGACCTGGTGACAGGATGGTCAGCGCTCCCAGGGACCACAGGAGTCTTGGGGTCCTGAGGTGCAGTTGCGTGTGAGGCTTCCCTTGGCAGGGGGTTCCTCCCCGCAGAGACAGAAGCAGTGAGCACTCTCGGGGGGGCCAGCCCAGGGCCGTAGAGGGGCAGATCGAGCCTCTGAGAGACGCAGACCCCAGTCCCAGATGCTTCAGTCAGCAAAAGGAAGGGCGTTTGCAGACAAATCAGCCAAATACGGCGCTCCACAGAGACCTGCTTTGAATCCTTGAGATACAACCCAATTTCTTACTCTCTCTTCCTGACTTTCTGTTCTTCCAGCTTTTCTGTCCTCACAGGTCTAACAGGCAATGTGGTGTGGCCGAAGCTACGACAGGGGCCACACAGGCAGCTGTGGCAGCAGGAAGAGGGATCTCATCTGGCTGGCAGAGCAGAAGAGGTATCTGGGGGCGCTCCCTGGAGGAGCTATCTTCACCGAGCCCTGAAGCGAGACTAGCAATTAATAGCTGGCAAAGGGCAAAAAGTTGTTGCTAGCGAAACAGCCTGATAGCTGGAGCCCTCTTTGTGCATCCGAGATTCTGAGTGACTCGTGAGAGGAGTGGTGTGCGAGCTCTAGACATCAGTTTTCTACATCAGCAGGGTGGCTGTGGGGAGGCTGAAGGCTTGGCCACAAGGCTTGGCCATGGGCCCAGGACACAGTGACATTAAGATGACAGCTTCATGAGTTACATTTTTAATAAGTCACCAGATAATTCCACCTGCCAATTGGGAGCCATGAGTAGTGCTGGGTCCACTCCCTCTGTAAATGCCCTTCCCTAGGAGACCCCAACCTTCTGGAACCCCAGCCGTCTGCCAGCCTTGAACCATTGGATACTGAGATGATGCTACTCCAGGCAAGTGTGAGGCAACCAGGAGCAGCCTCAAAACAGGACTCTGTGCCCTGTGCTAAATACTCCACCTCTAACCACAACCGGACAAGGTTCAGTACGTTGGCCTCTGCCAGCTCTGACCTCATCTCCACTCACAAAATCCTAACCTCACCTAGTGTCCTCCAGTACGTCCACTCCTTCTGTCCCAGGGCCTTTGCACGGGTTGCTCCCTCTGCCCAGAAAGCTCTTCTCTCCTTTTCCTTAAAGAACTCTCAGGCATTTTAGGTCGCACATCCAAACCAGCTCGCACCTTCCCCTCTTCTTGCAAATTATAAATTTATGTTCACTCCCGAGCTACCTAATGTGTTGTCAGCCTCATTAACTTGCTCCCAGCATCACCCCCGGAGTCTGGCACATAGCAGGTGCTCAAGAAATTTTTGCTGATTAAATGAATGAACGAGAGGGTGAGATCTGGTGAAGCGGGGGTGAGAAGCTTGAAATCCTGCTAGCCGCCCCTCCCCTACGGGACTGCAGGTGCCCCTCCCTGCAAAACCCACTTTGAGAACTTGGTTTCACCAGCCTTTTCATCTTAGAATGGGTGGATTGTCTACCCAACCCACACCAGCCTTGCAGCCAGGGGACACCCCCACCCTCAACCTCGCGCGTGGCCTCATAGGGTCTGACAGTGGAAACGAGGCGCGTCCCACGCTTTCCTTATGGAAAATGGCCTGGCTGCTGGGACAGGACACCCTGGCTCACCTGATGGCATCTGTGGGGGCTAGACGGAGCCGTGTGCACTGCAGGTACATTTCCTTCTGCCTGTCCTCGCCTCTCCACACCCTGAAGATGAGCCATTCCTCGGTCGATCCTCAAAGTCCTCGTCAACGACTCGCTGGAGACCGCTGGGAAACGCTGCTGGGACGTGCCCGCCGCCTCTGCACCCCACAGCCTGTTTGCTTTATACACAATTACAGGTGGGGCTGGCACGCCACAGACACGGAGGGTCGAGGGCTCAGGGATGACCTGGAATCCTGCCAGCCCCCTTAGTCCCGGCAGGGATCTTTCTGGGTACCCGTGAAGCAGAGATGGAATGGGGTGCAGGAGACTCCCACCCATTTGTCAAACCAGGAGGAATTGAGCTTTGCCTCTCCGTCCGGGTGAAACCCCCCCCCACTGCCTCCTAACCCCCATCAGCTAAGAGACCTTCATCCTTCCCCGCTTGGGGTTCTCTGCCCTTGTCTGGTGGGAACAGAGCCCTTGGGACACGGTGGGGTGGGGGCTTACGGGGCATTGTTCTTTTTAATTTGTCTTTTGTTTGTTTTCTGACCTCTGTGCTGACCCAGCACTGTGGCACGTTAAAATCCTTTTCTGAGAAAAAAAGGTCTAAGGTTCAACTTAAGTGGCCTCTCATCCCATCTCCCCCATGTGCGCTCCTCAAGGTCGCTGCTGACGGCGTCCATGGCTCCGAGGAGGGGCTGCCATAGACCCAGCACACGTGTTGAAAGGAGCAAACAAACGATCCACGTTTTATTTTTTAATTTTTTCACACTTTTTTTTTTTTTTTTTACAATTTACACAAATTATTTACTTGATTGAAGGCTTTATGGTACATAAAAGGCAGGGTTTCTATAGTTGCTCTCAGCTTTTTTCACACTGACGTCCGTTGTATTCGGGTGTTCTATGCCCGAGGTTGCTCAGCTGCTGCTGTTGCCATTGGTTTGTTTTCTTTCAGGATCAAGGTGGGTACTTTCATATAAAGTCTTATTTTTAATTCCTTCTCTGGCAATTCTTTCCTGGATTCTTTGTTTTGCATAGTTATACCTACAATGGCACCAGCATCCTAAAGTCACTAAGAAAAATCCTCCTACGCCACATCCCATGATCTTCTAATTCTACCTTTCCCTTCCCGGGCTCGCCCGGCTCCAGCTCGGCGGCCACGGGGCACGAGTCCCTTTACGCTTTGTTTTTAAGATTTATTTTTATTCATACAAGAGCTGGGGTACAGGCCAGAGGTGCGGGAGGGTGAGAGGATTCACCAGAAACAGAGTGGGGAGCAGAACAGGCAGACAGACCAAAAGCACTGCTGAGGGGAGCAGCGGGTGAGACAGGAGAGGTCTGCTGCGCCATGTGGGAATCTCCTTGGCAGGCCGGGGAATTGAACCCGCTCTGCAGAGGCTGTGGACAGCTTCACAGCGCTGCGCTCAACCCACTGCACCACCGGGGAGGCCCAATTGGCGTTTTAATCCCATCCCTGCCGGTTAGCTTCCCGTGCCCAGCCCAAAGCCTGACAACAAGAGGGAGCATGTGGGGGAACTTCAGCCTCTCCCCACTCCTGCCCAGCCACCTCCCTGCAGGCCTGTCTCATGGGTCTCTTTCCAGAAGCACGGCAGGGACACAAAGTTCAGCAGAGCACAACCCCATCACCCCTGGCATCTGCCGAGCCTCTGCTTTGTACTCGGAGGCCAACTATGTTGGTGCCGCTTTCTACACCCCTTCGGTGAGCTACAGTGCGCACCCCACATGACCCACCCGCTTAAAGCATGCGGTTCTGCGGTGTTCGCCGTGTTACTGGCCTGTCGCTTAAGGATGTGCTGGTCAAGGATGACATGTAGGAAGAGGCCCCGGTAGGGTAGACCATCTAGGGGCGCATTTCTCAGCATGTGTCCCTGTCACTAAGCAACACACCAATTCTTCTCATTTCTGGTAAGCTGTAGATAACAGTGTATTAGCCATGTACCATGTTTTAAACTGAATATGTGAGATTTAATACCGTCATCATTTAAATCATTATAACAACTCAGCAAAGCATGCAACCATAGAGAGAGGGCCTCCCTGCTGGCGCGAGGGGTTAAGCCCAGCACTGTGAAGCTGTCCGCAGCCTCTGCAGCACGAGTTTGATCCCTGGCTAGGGAGACACCCGCATGGCGCAGCAGACCTCTCCTGTCTCCCCGCTGCTCCCCTCAGCAGTGTACTTCAGTCAGTCTGCCTGTTCTGTTCCCCACTCTGTCTCTGGTGAATCCTCTCACCCCCAGCACCTCTGGCATACCGTACCCCAGTTCTTGTATGCATATATAAATAAATTTTTAAAAAGAAAGAAATTCCTGCTTTAAAAAAACAAAACGAAGTCATAGAGAGACACCCAAACAGTCACTTTCCTCATCTTCTGAGTCCTTCCTGGAACAGCACAGCTTGGAGCCGGGGCCCCGTCCTTATACTGGAGCAGACTCAGGAGGTCTCAGCACGCAGGTGGACCTGTGCTGGCCCACGCCTGACAGCCCCGAGATGTTGTGGGAGTCGTTCCGGGCTCTGCACAGCTGCCTCCTGGCGCAGCGGGGATGATGGCCTCAAGCAGGCCGCGCCCACCGTGCACAGGTGCTCCCCGCGCCCTCGCGTCTCCGCAAGGGTGGTAAGCGGCTGGGATTTCCCTCCAGGAAGGAAGAGCCTCCATCTCGGCCCCCAGACCCCACACAAGGCCAGACTGGGCACGTGTCTGCTTTGTGAGGCCGGCTGGAGGGGGGCGCCCCACGGGTCCGGCTCTGGGGCGTGAGCCGAGGGCTCTCCGGCTGGTTTGTGACGGGGCCTCAGGCAGGCCTGGGAGGCTGGGGGCAGAGGGGCAA